CTTCTTAAGCTCTCTTCTGTAGTGAAACATAGTCTCCTTTTATTCTTGTTTTCTCATTTTTGGTCTAGAGAAATCTGAAAGTCTTCTTTCAGTAGTATGAATACTTTAAAGCTAAACTTTTTTATAATGATCAAACATCTCAGCTTTTTAATCATCACTGCTTTAATTCCTCAGACGGAATTAACGGCTCCAGGTCAGCAAAATTATCTGTGATTCAGCTGCTGCTCTGAACACTGGGACTGCCAAGACCAGGTCCATCCCAGCACATCCCATCCCTTGTGACTTTAGGACCACCCAGAACTGATGACATTATAGCAAGAAGCATCATAGCCTCTCTGGTCTTCCACAGAACTTGTGTTAAACATGCTTTCCCCTAGTTCTTCCTAATCCTAAATCTAATTAGAAATATTATAATGACATATTAAATACCTAAATTCATTGTCATTAATTTGTAACTCCTCACAAAGGGCAACTGAAACAAACATACAGACACCCTTCCCTACATGAGGGAATGTCTTTTAATACAGTTGGAAAAGTGTAATCTGGGGCACCATAGGCTTTTGATGACCACATCTTCACTCTTCCCACAGATCCATCTGTACTAGAATTTGACCAGTCATTCCAAACAGCTGCCTGTTCATTCTAATTACCTTCCAAAAAGCTATTTATTTCTATTCCCAAATGCAAAAAATCTTCTCCCTTCAAAATTATAAAGGTTGAAGTTCTGTGATGGACAATATTTTGTCCAAGTTTCACTAAGACACTTTGGTTTCCATGCTCTTTATCAATTGACCCAGACAAGCACTCAAAATTCTCCAGCTTTTTTCTTCCTAATGGATTTGGTTAAGATATTTTCTTTAATGTCTATTATTCAGGTAATTTTGGAGATTTTTCTAAGTCTCACAATCCTATACATATATACATATATACATATATACATATATACATATAGAGCAAAACCATCTATATATACTGATGAATGAGTGGAAATACAGTCCTACTATCATTTGGAAATATGCTATAAAATAGATAATCTCTAAAGTACCTGGACTATGTACACATGGTTTGATAAGGGATGGAGCCAGCCCAAATTTGTAGCAAGCAACACTCCCAGCTGGTCTCCAGGACCCACTGTTTTATGTCAGTACCTGTGCACACAGAGCAAGGGAGGTGTGTGCAACTTACATGCACACTTTTCAGCCTGTGTTGCCTCTAGGTTGTAAAGCCAACAATACAAACCAGCACATAGCCATTTAGGACAGGAAGTGAAAAACTATATTTAGCTGAACTTTTAGTAGTAGAAAGAAGATGATCAGAATATTGCTTACATTTGTGCCCCCATTCCTGTGAGCACTGGTATAAGACTGTCTGCAGTCAGTGATGAGAAGTTCCTGCTCAGGGAAAATATTCCCAGTGTGCTCTGTCCCCTAGGGACCAAAGGGACAGTTGCCTTCTCTGCTACCACCATTGCACGTATTCCAAGCATCCACTACATTTGGGAAGGACTCATGTACTGGAAGTGCTGGAAAAATCATGCAACAAGTCAGTGTGGTTGTAAACATGCTTTTCAGTTAAATGAATCTCAGGAGATTTTTGTCTCCTCCCTACCAAATTCAGGTAGCTTTGAAGAGCACCTCCTTCTTTGTATATTTACAGTGATATCCCAGTCTTGGTGCAATGCATCTTGAACACGGAGATTTCCCTCCTGAGAAGCACCATCCTCCTCAATTGGAAAGTGTATCCCTTGTCAGAGCTTGGCAGAGAGCAGGGATTTAACAGCACTGATTTGTTTGCAGCTGCCTTACCTGTCCCTTTGCCATTTAAACACCACATCTCACAGGTTCTGGTGGGAGTACTCCTTTTCTTTGAGAAGTACTTTGCATTGAGCCCAAGACTTCCTGAGGCCAACAGGGCTTTTTCTACCGATTCAAATAATCTGAGATTTAGCCCTTTACACAGGATAGCTCTTGAGAAGTTTTAAAGAATTTTTTTTCTCAATTCAAACCTAAACCTGGTAAAAGTTGATATAAGATTTATTTACTGCACTGCAGAGACATATGTGTAGCCTGGGTAAAAGAATCCCTTGATAACAAAGCTCTTGTGGCCAAGTAATAACGGAAAGGTTTGGGTTTGATCCCTGCCTGGGCTATTCACTCAAGAGTTGGACTCAATGATCCTTGTGGGATCACAGAATATTCTGTGATTCTGTGAAAACTCCCATTCCAGCAGAAGTCATGGTTTTCATAGCATGCTTCATAGGTTCTCTGGTCTGCTCTACACAGAAGACCAGACTAGACAATCAAAACATTCCCTTCTGAAGTTAAATTCTGTGAACCTATGAGAGTGGTTCAGTTTACAGATTCCTCCAGTGCTTGACCTCTTTATGTCAACGTTCATCACATGAAATCTGTCAACAGTGATGTGGGTTTTGTGCCAAAAAAGACACATCACCAAAAGATGCTCAATCATTACTTCATTTGATAATCTGGTGTCCTAGAAATGAGAACCACCGTAACCCATCCCAGCTACCTGAAACAGCCATTTTCTCAAAGATGGATTCAACATTTGCACATCTCTGTCTCAGCACCTGACTGCTCTACTCATCATATCCTTCATACATTTGCCAGATGTTGGAATGAAGGCATATGTCTTTACATGAAACCATGGTCACCGCAGTCAAGTAGCTCTCATTTCTCCAGATGTTTTGTGATCTCACCACTTATTAATGTTCCTAGGAGTTAGCCCGGCTCTAGGTGAGAATTAATGGTTAAATTTCCCTGCTTCTTTCCCATAGCATTTTGGAAGAATTTGATGACATTGATTTCTATCCAGCCCCTAGCTGCACTTCTCCCTCATTCCTCTCTGAGTGGCTACTAATTGTGGAGGCAGATTTCTCCCCAGTGTCTTTCTGACATTTGACAGATATAAACCAGCAAAACTTGTTTATGGATTTACTACTTGCAAAATAGACCCTAGTCCTTACTAGGAATGAGTGCATGGATATTTCCAAGTTGCTGGGGTACTTCCATGATAATTTGCACTGCCATAGTTTCTGTGCATGTGAGTAAGCTTTCCCTCTTAACTAATGTTTAAACTATGTTAAAACTTTTAACATATGTTAAAACTGTAAACAGAGGGGCAATCTCAGCAATTTTTCATGCATTTTTTGTGCACAGAATTTTAAAATCAGGTCTAGATTCTCCATCAACCTCTCCTTAGGTTACCATTTCTTTTGAAAGCTATGAATGCCAAATACTTTGCATAATTTGCACCTAATTCAGTGTAACCATAACAGGAAATCAGCTAAACACCATTTAGAAATGTTTCTAATTCTGTAATGCGTTGGAAGCCACAATGTATGCATGCTAAAGTGTAATTTTGAGGATCTTCAGCAATATTACAGCACGTAAACAGAAGGAGTTAAAACAGATTTTAAAATACCCAAGTTCCTTTTTATGAGTGGGAGATAGACTGGAAATAAAGACAATCAGTGAATGAAATAAGAGGTCATTCTGTTAAATTGTTCAGGTGTTTAAAAACCTATGAAGAATGCATGCAGCATGCCCATTGATGCTTCAATATTCCTCCAACCACTTGATTTCTAGGGTGTATGGCTTGCTTACTTTCTCCTGCAGCTCTAGACAGAAAACAAATCTTTGCAAGCAAGTGGCTCCTTTCAGACATCTCAGAAGGAGATTAGCAAACATATCTTCCAGTTTCTCGTATTTAATATCTTAACTGTCACAAATGCAGGGATTATCTGCAAAGTGCAAATTCTTTGGTTTACCGTCTAGTAAGTTCCTCTTGCCAGTCCACAGGGATTGGATGCTTTCATTTTTTTCCTGACAGCTGTGTGATCTTTGTCCCTCAGTGTTTATCATTACATGGAACTCAGGAATCATACCTCGAAACAGGAGTGGCATTGTTCCACTTAATGCAAACAACTGAACAAGGCAAATGCAGTGACAACTGCAACGCCTCCATCCCCCACTCCATGTGTGCATTTTGGAACAGTGCTGTGGTAAAACCATCACACAGTGGCCTGTCAGCAGCGATTTCCCCCCGTTTTTGACTGAGTGTGCCCTAAATAGGGCAGTACCCTCAGCAACTGGAAATGCAAGTATCCCATATCTATCCACCCCTCCACACAGCTGCTTCTACTGCATCCATCACAGAAGTATCTGGGAGCTTTCATCCATGGAAAACAGGCTACATGTGTTAGAAAGATAAGAAAAAGTCTCAGTGCCTGGTATTATTATGGTTTTCCAAGGGGGAATGGAGTGGGGTATGTGACTGACAATTTCAGCAGCAATGTAATTTTCCCCTGCTTGTTTACTACAGGAAACAGAAATGCCCAGCTTCAGCATGGGCTTTGTGATACAACCAAGCCTTGGGAGGATTCCAGACTTATCCTAGAATCCCAGTAGCTTGCTGACTGTCCTCCACATCAAAACCCACTTTCTCTCCCACTGTTTTCCTGGGATTTGGTCCTGCAAGGTGCAGTGTTTCAGCCAGGAGCAAGGGAAGCCTGCAGTATTTTCCTGACACAAAGTACAGTTGAAGTCTCCTGGGAGTCTGGGGACAGGGTTTGTGTAGTGTGCAGGCACTGAAGTGACCATCAGCTCATAGGGACAAGCCCTTATCCACTTCTGCATTTGAGCAGAAACAAAGCAAGCCTCCCAGAAAAGCTTTGTCACATTTCCAAAAACCAAAGAAGTCCCTTTTTTTGTCCTTTGCCCCAAACTGCAGCTGAGGATTCATCCTTCTTCCTTAAATAGCTAAGGTTCAAGCTAAATAAAGGCACTGCAGTTTGTTTTTAGCTGGAACATGTCAGTTAAAGGAAATACTGTAAATTACAACACAGTCATGCCTCACCATTGTGACTGTGTAACTAGTAAGTCAGCAGTCAGCTCACAAAAGCAGCCGAGAACTCTTTGTTAAGTAGGAAAAGGAAAGCAACAGTTATTAAAATGAAGAGTCACTAAAGATTCAGGACTTACCCTGAGTCATCCCTGGCTCCCTTCTCTCCTGCTGATGTTTTCATCATTACAGCAAACTTTAAGTCACTTTCTGTATCACAGTGGCTTGAGAGTTCCTCGGTCAGAAAAGCAATTCCTTCCCATCGCTGAGCAGAACTTCCACATCCTCAGGTTTTGTACTGAAGATGGTATTTCAAGGGCGTGAGGGGGAAGATGTTTAAAACCAGCTTCAGGCTCAGTAGTATCAGAGGGTAGAGGACTAAACAAGCACTGAAATGAAAGCAAACTACCAAGAAGATCCGATTTTAGCCTCTCTTATTTCTACTTCCTGTATTTATATGAACGGGGGATTTCAGGAAGAGGCAGTCTTTGGTGGTCAAGGGTGTGCGTGTGTGTGAGTGTGTGTGTGTTATAAAGCCATATTTAGTAGTGCAGGCAGGTTAACCTCATTAGAAAGAAGGGTCTGAGACTTTCAACTGTTTCTCTAACCTAAGTGTCAGAGGAAATCACTTTACAGACTACAGGTATATCAGGAGGCAACGGAGCACAGTGAACTTTGTGAAGGATTTTGTAAAGCAGCAAAGCAGTAAGTCTCGGTCTGCAAATTCCTGAAGCATGTGTATTTCTACTGCTTGAGTAACTGGAACCAGATGGGGCTTGGAAACCTTTATATTTACACAGGACCTGAGAAAACGAAATGTCTAACACTGGCAGAGGACAGCTGTGCAAAAGCATTCCCAGTTCAAGCAAAAGCTGACGATCAGGTTGTGTGACTGCTGGCAAATGAATAGCTATCCACACAGGGAAGCTCCTGTCGGGCTCAGCGCACGCCGGACCTGCACTTACTGAAGTGATCGAGGGTTTGCCGTGCAGGAAACCCCAGCAAACACACACCAGCTGTGGGGGCTGACAGATGTGCTGCCACACAGGGCTGCTGGCACTCTTGTCTGGCAGTCCTGTTGCTCCAGAAATATTTGATGTTAGGAGAATACATAATGCAAAAAGTACGGCAGAAGTGAAAAGAAGAGGTGGAGAAAAGCAATTGCATGGAATGGAGTGGAAAACAAAAGTAACTTTTTGCCCCTTTTATATTTAGAAGGAATTTTTCAGCTTTCCATAAAATAGACAGTGCCACACAGTCCAGAGCAGAAATGCAAATGCCAGGGAGCTGTCAGTATATTGGCAAGAGGGAAACTAGACCTCAGGATAGAACACAGAGCCAATTCTGCTGGCACTGACATAGAGAGAGTCAGGGGGACGTTTACCATCACCAAGTCACACCTTCAATATAACACAAGACAAATTTTTTTCTTTTTCTTTTTTAATAAAGACTAACTTCAGTTTGCATTAGGAAATCCATAACAAGGATTTATGTTAGAAACACTGTTATCTTAGAAAGAGCCTTGCTGAAAGACTGCATGATTGAAAATTCACCACCCTTCTAAGTAAGGTATGTTAGTGCTTAATTGCTGATATTATTTAAATTCACACCTGATTTTTTGCCTTATCTAAGTTTAAATTTTCAGCCACTGTATCTTGTAATGCTCTTTTCTACTATATTAAGGATCTCCTTGCTCCAGCTCCTGGAGTCATTTTCAGGCAGTGACAAACTCACTCAATGAAAAATTTAGTCTTCTTAGACAAACTGATTGGCTGCGATTCACTCATCCCTCACCGCAAACTTGTCAGATCTCAGCTCTGAATCCTTCTGTGCTTTCTGGGCTCAGAGGTCCAAAAGAAAATATATCTTCTAGATTTATTCACCAGCTGGGCACCTTTGAAATGCACCTCAGGTATTGGCATAACAACAATCTCCTACGTGTATCACACAAATCCAACTACCCCAGTTTCCACTTCCCTCCCCTGCAGTTCAGCAGGGACAGGCTCACTCAGCATTCACCCTTGCTCTGCTGGTAAATAAGATTTGCTGAGACAAAAAACTGCAAAGTTGTGCTGCCTTGCATGGACCTGCTCACACAGACAAAACTGTTTACACAAACAGGCAGCCATCCTAGGCAAAGACCTAAGATTTTGCAAATGCAGAACACAACAGAGTTAGACAATTCCAATTATATCTTTATGGAGGAAGAAAAAAAATTACTGGAACTATTAAAAAGGTCCAGAAAAACTTGGCAAAAATACAAAATTACAGTATTTTGGTGCTATCTCAGTTTCATGTGATTTGAGTGAAATCTTTCATATTTATAATGTAAAAATGCAGTTTCAGAAATTTGAAGTTTTGAAATTTTTTTGTTAAACATACTGATCAAATTTAAATTTAAAAGTCACATATTTTCTGCAAAATACTCAGTATATCTGTAAAATATTTAAAATGTGAAAAAGAAGACAAATTTTGTCAAAGCTTTACTAGGTGTCTTTTTGAGCTGGGAATTTGACAGGTTGAGTATGTGACTACATGTTCTAGAATCAGGCTTTGGAAGAAAACAATTACACAAAAGCTAAATGACAAAATAATATCCAGTTACTTCAAACTGACATTCCTCTGTTACAAATCCAAGCCAAATGAGAGGAATTCATGTCTCTTCTAGGACTGATTCACCCTTTCCATCTTAAGCCACAGCATCCTGCAGCCCTTTCTTGTAGTTTTATGCAGCTGGGTTGGAAAGGTTTAAAAATGGCTTACGGGGGAAGCCATTAAGTACAATGAGCACTTGAGCTACAATAAAGGGCTTTCAGAATATGCCCAGATTACATGACAATTCTGCTTTCCATACAGTAGGGAGCTTCTGCATCAATAATATGGCCTATGATAGGAGCCCTTAGGAACTGTCATGCCTATTGTGTCACTAATCCATAGATTATGTGCCTTTTATAGAGCCTATTACATAACATGATGGGTCACCGTGTCAAGGATGGAAAGATTAAATGAAGAGGCACTTTTCACATTCAGATTCTGATTTTTAAAAGTTAATTCTGTGTATAAGAAGGAATCTTCTTCTTTCCCCAGCTTAGAAAAATTTAGCCTAGCATACACTAAAGAATGAAATTTTTGCAAAATTCAGAGAATGCAGAATATCCTTTTTCTCCACTTCCATAAGACTTTTCTGTAGATACACAAAAGCCCACAGCGGCTAATGCCAGGTTTATACACCAGTAAGGATTCCAGTCTCATGCATAGTGCTTAAGAAAAAGATCAAGCTTTGTTTTAACTCGCACTTCCCGACAGTAAACTGCCTAGGAGTATTCATGAGAAGACTGTTGTCTAATAAAACTGTTAATACACCAGGCCATGAGATGAAGTAAATGAACTCTCAGCTCCGCTTTTCCCAAGAACTGCATTTAAAGCTTTTCCTAATCCCAGACAGACTGTGCCACTGACAATATCCAATGTACCAGGAGCCTCCATACCCCCGAGGCTGACTACAGGAATGCTGGAAATGGGCAATCAAGGCTAAGAAGGGATATCTCCAGCGCCTAGGGAACTGGGAAAGGAAAGTAGTACTGTGTGGCCTTTGGACCTTATTTCCAGCCTCTCATCAGCATGCAGCACTCAGTGTGAACCTGCTGGACACCCACACACCACAGGATGAGGCAACCAAAATGCTCCTGATCGGGGGTTTTTCTGAGGCTGCCAGAATTGCTTCTGGATCAGTGCCTCAGTACAGCAAACTGTGTTCTCAGCAAAGTCAGTTTTCTAGCCCCAAAAAAAGCAAATTGTGTGTTTCAGAATTGCTGCAGATCAAACCGATACACTTAACTCCATATAATGGCTTGATCCAGGCAACACTCCCCAGAATACCCAGAATGTGGGCCTTCTGTCACAGTTCAGCAGGGTCCAGATTTCACCAAAAAGGTCTAGGCACACATCCTATTTGGGTCCTGAAATTTTATATTATCAACAATGTTTATGAGAATGTTTCACATAACCATCTGAGAAAAAAAAACAGCAAGTACTCTTGTTTATATAATTTATTGATAGTGTACATATTTTTATATAGTGCATTATAATACTGACTGCTATAATCTTTATAAATGCTGAGTTAACTATTTTTTAAAATTCTCACAACAAAAATAATCAAATATCATGCCACCATTTTGTAACAAATTATCACATTAAATCCATTTGGATTTCATGACATATTTATCTGTACAATGGACCCCATATCACAGAGCATTCACAGTGCATAAGGTCACAGTCATTGAAAAAATAAGTAACATGAGAGATTTCTGTTATTTACAGTTTATAAACCCATCCCTTTCTGTTTTCAAAGTAAGCAGTTCTAGAAAGTTTTCATAATATTTAAAGAGGTATTGCACCTCTGAAGGGTGCACTGCAAATGCCTGCAAGTATGAAATACGGGTTTTTAAAAGGTTCAGAAGTTATTTTAGTGACCATAAATGATTTCAAAGAATTTCTTGCAATGGAGGAGATACCATGAGCCAAATTCTATGCTCAGTTCCACTGATACTAATTTGTGCCAACTACCAGGACATTAATGAACACTGGCACCACTCCCAAAAATGTGAAGGGAAGAATTTGGTCATAACTTTGCTGCAGTAACAGCAATTTGAAACACATTTGTTGCTGGGGAAGCAGATTTACAAGTTTTCTTTGCATATATAACTGGTATATGAATAAAGACCATAATCTTTCTGCAGAAACCCTCTGAAAGGAAGCATCTCAGTTGTTATTAATATTTCTAGAGATTATATCTGTCTGATTTTCAGATATTCTGATACCTTTAAAATTTATTACTATGCCTAGTGCTATAAACCAATCTTTATTTGTCGATCAAGTTTACCAAGACCATCTCAGTGATAGGACAGCAATGATCACCTACATTCTTTGTGCAAGTGAAAAAGAAAAATAAGACTAAATTCCAACTCGCAATTCTTCTAAGAAAATACCCAAATGGTGGTAATTTCCCATAATTATTAATTTCTTTCAGACAGTGCACTGTATGGTAGCAAACAGAACCGCGTGATGAGTGAATTGCTATGGTCACTACCCGTCTTGAAGATACAGCTACACAAATCTCATCTGCCAGGAGAGGCATGTACAGGATTTCACAGACTTCCCTGGGGAAAAACCATCAGGACCTCACACGTGGGAAAATGTGAGAAAAGTGTGTGCTCAAGTTATTCAAAAGGAGGTTTTTAAACATGTACATGGTAGATCAGAAACTGGAATGCATGCATCAGTTGAATATTCTCTTCTTCAGCAGGACATTGATCACTTGCATACAGACTTTTCCAAATGGTTCAAGGGAATAATAATGGGTTTGGTACAGAATTGCTGGAACTAAACTCTGTCATTTACCTGTGTAATGATCACATAAATCTCACCACCCAACAAAATGAAAAATGTGGCAAACTCATGGAAATAGAAAGAAAATTGTGCAGCAAATGCATGAGCTGCAGAAATTTTCTTCTGAATGTTTAAACACAAATAACAGAGAGATCTGAGGCTTGCAATGACAGAACATTATGCTCCAAGGTGATATACTTCAATTAGGAAGATTCTTTGGTTTCACCTGGCTATCAGAGTTATTTTAGTGTCTGTTTCATATTACATAATGTCTGATCTTTCCTTGGCATGAATAATCAGACAGTATTTCTACAGCTTAAAGAACTCTACCAAAACCAACTAACAGTGGGACACAAGAAAACAGCATAACAATTGCAAGAAATCCAAGAAAGGAAGACAACAAAACTCATGAGGCATTTGTGCAACTAGAGCAAACGCATAATAGAAACAAGTGTAATTAAAGCAGAGTCACACGGGAAATAAAAGACAGAAGAGAATCTTCTCTATAATTGCTAAGTATTAAATTAGTAGACTTTGACCATTTGTTTACATGTTGACAGAAAGTTTACAAATATAATCTAAAACCAGAAGCTAGCTTTGTCTGTTACAGCTGCAGCAAGCATATAAAAACAAAATAAAATTGGCACACCGAAGACTGAGCCAGGAGAAAGATGGTTGACTATGCTGTACCTGTACCTGGGAAGACTTAAGGTGTTCTTCTAGGCTAGACTTCAGCCCAGAGAGAAGCCCTCAGACCATCAAAGAGACATTAAGATAACTATATCTGCAGCTTCTTAGATTTAGATGTGCAGATCCTGAGCTTGAAATCTTTACTCAAGCAATACTTTATAATGCAGTACAATTCTTATGGTAAAGAAATGGAATCAAACACGCTGAACTCAATGGAAACACTCCCAGTTCCTTGCTACAGACATGATTACACTCCATGGGTCCACGTGGGACTGTGCTACTCCAGGGCAACTACAGCACAAAAGAGCTGCTAAAAGCCCTCCTTGGCCAGCTGTACCTCAGTTTTGATCCTGCTCATACATAAGGGCAGATACACAATTGAGAAGTCTGAGACAAGGAACAAGTTCTCTTGTTTACCAGAGTGGAAATTAAAATGGTATCAGCAGAGCACAAGTCCACAGATTCTGGTCAAACCTTTTAATTTAAGAAGTAAAATCTTTAGACTACAAAACCAATAGAACATGGAAAGAACTGAGTATGATAAAAAGCCCAGAAACCATGCTCCACTGTCATCTTAGGACACAATCCAGCAAGGCACTTGGATAGACGCTTAGCTTTAAAATGGAATCAAACCTACTGAAGTTAAGCTTTGCTGGATATGGGATATCTTTTTCTGAGTTGTGTTACTTTTCAGTGTTAGTATGCTGGCAAATTTCAGATCACACTAACAGTTTTCTCTCTCACATCCACCAGCTTTCTTTTCACTCTTGAGCTGAACATTAACTTACGGAACATTGTGACATACATTCCAAACTCAGCCAGTTAACTTTTGCAACAGTTAATGAAACAAAATGGCTACAAAATTTTATAAATACAATCTGAACAGCTGCAGTATAGAACTGTGCTAACAGGGGAGAGTCAAGCACAAATCACTCCTTTTCTTGACTAGAAAATGGGAAATTTTTAATGGTTTCCTGACCACAAAAGCTAACGTTTTTTTGTTGTTTGCTTGGGTTTTTTAATACATTTGAAAGGCACTAGTCTGTTATTACTCGGCAACAGCCTCCTGAATTACTGATACATTCTGATGTGGGTTTATCTGCAATCCAACAATTTGTCAATCAGATCTTTCTTCGACCATTCAGTTTACCTGCACAGCTTAGTGTATAACTATTTATTTTAGCATATGGGCAAGGACTACTCAGCTTCTTCAAGTACTTCATATGATTATTTGTCATCAAATCTCTGACACAGCATCTCATAATTCTTAGGCAAACAATACATCCTTGGTCATGTGGTAGTGTCAAAGGAGAATCCCACTAATGTTATTCATAATGATAAGCATGGCATGATACTTGTCTCATAGCAGCAGATGCAGATGAGAACACCCAATGGAATGCAGCATTATAATTCAATATAAATTATCCTGAAGTGAGTTTATATTTCAAGGAGAGCTGTAGATGACAGGAACCAGCCACACATTGGCTGTGGTTGTTCTGGATGCTGAGACTCTTTCTTGCCAAAACACAACACTGGTTTTCTGGAGCAGGTGATGTTCAGATTAGGCAGACTAATTGTAAATGATGTGTGAAGGATTTACGGAATTAGCAAACAAAGTTCATGCATATTTGCGCTGAGAGTCGGCTGCTACAGAAAAAAATGGTGCCCATACTCTTCTAAAGTTGGCTGGCTCAGAAATATGAAGGTACAGTGTAATTTTCTAGATCTGTCCCTATAAACTTTGATGCCCTCATCCCTGTCAACTCAGCTGATCACTACACATTCAAAACCGGACTTTGGAAGTACTCTTCTATTGTGTAAAGACAACTGAGCTGCCGGAACTGTGCACAGGAGAGCAAATCTTTGCTTGGATACAGTTCTCCAAGACCACAACAACAGAATATAGGGAAAAAACCCATTTACTCGGTCTGTTTCTCTGCTCATTTCTGTCTCATATCTAAGCCATCACCAGATTTTCAGCAGTAAATGTCCTCCTGAAAGACAGCAGGGGGGAGAGTAAGACTAGAGAGGGATATTCCTACAGTGATGCAGCAGTATCCTGCATTTTCACAGCCTTTCAGCAACAGAAGACTCAAAGATGAACATGAATTCCATCTCCTCAGCTTTATACTGCAACAAAAATGCTGTGAATGCCTGGAAATGGGGTCATTGGCATACTTGAGATAAAAAGTGTTTAATGCCATTCTTGCCTATTCAATAAAACATTTTATTAATGCTGTATTTGTGTCCATCTTTAGTTCTTAGTTCAACGACACAACTATTTAATTAAGGTAAGAAACCCTAAATGGATACTAATACTGACATTTGTAACAAAATGTAAAGCAAGTGAATGTGTTGCTCTTTTTCTCTTTAGGATCACATTGAATGGACCCAATTCTTAAAAAATACACCACCAACGCATACACTCTTTAATTTATCCTAAAATAATTTTTAAAATAGTTTTAATTGTAAACTCATTGCCTGGTGTAAACAGTATTCTGCATGTCAGATGACTAAACATAATGATTTTCATATATGTCAAAAGAAGGAACTTTCTGAGTAAGTGCTTATTTGCTTAGTTTTTATAGTATATTCTCATTGACACAATTTTTTATATATAGTCTTAATGGAAAATATTAATATATTTAAAAACACATCAACCATTAGTTGATACGTTTGGTTTGGCTTATAAACATTAAAAAATTTTAAAAATCTACGTATAAAGGTGACTGTGCTTCTTTAGAAACTTTACGTGATCATTCACATACAGCTTCAAAATATTTTTAAAGTTTAGTAGCAATTCAAAATATGCTGTCTCAGTGATTTACAATTATATCACTGCTAAAATGTGGAATGTTACTTGCTGTTTTAATACTCTGGGCTGGATCTAGCTGTCAATTATTCCCAGAGTAATTCCTTACATCAGATTTATGCTGGTAGAAAGGATACCAAAACTTGGCTTCTACTTGGGGTTAAAAAGAAGTATATCATGCTTCAAAACTTGCATGCAATCAAATCAAGGACCATATTCTCTTGACAGACTTGCTTTTGTCAGGGTGACTCTTATCTGCACTGTTCCGTGTCAGACATTCATCTTCATTAAGCTTCTGGGAATAAGAAAAAATGGTGAAGAATACACCAGCTTCTTGACTGATGAAATAAGCTTCTTCCTCCCACCAATCAAACTGAATCAAACCAAATCATAATCAGAGTGGGTTTTGTTGTCAAAAAGTCTGGATTATGTTCAGCTACTACTCCCAGCTGATGACAATAACTGATAGTTACTGAGCACCCAGTTATATTTTATTTCTTTAGTTTCTTCTAAATTTACACAATGGGCTTACAATGGCCAATGCAAAGTTTTTCTTGTGGTGTAATATTCCACAAATGTCAGTTTATATCTATGTATACAGCATTCCTCATAAACAATAAAACATTTTTCAAGTATGAATTTCTGCATGTAAATTCTCTTCGGTATGCAGTTACTCTGACTTCTAGTGTGCATCATCACAAGTGATACAACATACAACCATTTCCTCTTCTTTCTCTGCCACATTGTTCATTGAACAGAATGATAAATATCCAACACTGCCATCAAAAACTGTCAGTGCAGCTTCTCTATAAGCAGAGCACTTGAAGGGGGAAATGATCCTCAACAGTGCATGCCATGGATATGTGTCTTGGACTTTCTGGTCCTGTAGTTCAAATATTCTGACTGAGCCAAGAAAGGTTCTGAACTTGCCTCTAATCCTTCCATGGAAAGTAAATGTCAAAACCAAAAGATCTATAAAGATTTTTTTCTCCCATCCTCTTGCTAACCTTGATGGTGGTGGTTGATTGTCTGCAAAAGGAGAATGAAAACCACAACAGAATGCCCAGAAATGGGTCCTTCTAGAGTTCTGTGTAAGATCCATGTAGCTTTATGACAGGGCAGCAATATCCAAAGATGAGGAAAATGCTTTGGTAGCCTTCAGCTAGCATGTTGAAAGAAAGGTATGCTTTCCTTCCATATAGGTAAAAGTGCTCGTTAGCTGATTAAGCAGGAATGACACTTAAATTACTGATGGAAAGAAGGTAGAAATGTGAAATGCCTCCTGTCATTTACATCATGTGCAATCAGAAGAATTTCAGTCTCTCTCCTTGCTGTGGTTTAAAGTTCTTCTCGGCACATAGGGAAGTTGACAAAGGTGAAGACATTGAACTCTATCATTATAGATAAACACAGGAAAATAGCATATAGAAGCAACACGTAGATGCCTAACTTCCTGTCAAGTTTCCACTTATTTATATGGATTCCAAACACCTGCAAGCAAACAGAGTGTCAGTTAATTAAGTTCTGAAGGAGACTTTTGGAAACAACCATTATAAAGCTAAAAATGAGTCTTTTGAATTAGAGGTCTTGCAGGAAGACAAAAAACATATTCTTGGTATTTTATAGACTGAAAGGCAAAATACATTATTGACTGTCCTAAGTCTCAGTTGTCCTGTGACTGTTTTACAAAATATTCAATGTACTAAACTAAATTAATGTCCCTCCCTCAATTGTTGCTCTGCAAATCCTTTATGTCCCAGTAGTACACCAGCACCTAATGACCATTCTTTTCAACAGCTTCGGAAGAGGTGCTCTGCTTGCTTATCTGCTGAGCTCCAGAATTAAGGGGTTACAAGTTATAGGTAGCAAAGCAGTGAAGTCCTCATGAAGGCATCTATTTTCCATGGTGTTCAGTGCATCTGAATTATTATTTATTTTGCTCAAAGCTTTCCACTGAGTTTGCTGTGGGAGGGTCTGTGCAAATCAGGGTACTCAGCAGAGCAAATGAGACAGTAATGGATGCCTAAAACTCAGGTGATCTGGCTTCTGCTACAAAAAGACTCTTCAGAAATACATGAAAGGCTAGCACAGTAACACCTCTGATAATCCTCCCATTTTTTCCCAAAGTGCTGATTAACAATATGCATGCAGCAACACCAGATACAAATGTCTACAGAACACCAGTATTGTTTCACAGGCACTGTGCAGTATGGCAGGCTGGGGATTAGAAATGAGAAGAACATGTTCTCACACCTTATAGATTAGGAAGTTAGTAGGAGAGTGAACAGCCCTGGTCATTCTATCGCTTAAGTCATGCACAGGTGATGTGAAGCTTTGTAAGACTTAATCATGCAACAGTGTGAAATGTCCAGTGGTGACCACCTCCTCTACAAAGCCTCCACAGGCAGTCAGTGAAAGATATTAGTATAAGTGGATATTTTTATACCTTTTTGATTCCTTACACCTGATTTGATTCTTCCTACAGAGCGTTCCCTGGGAGTCAAGCAGGATCAGACCTTAAGTACCAGCAAAACTGACTTTTCAAACAGAATTATTGTTTCACCTTAAGAAGTCATCTGTTACAAGGGTGTCTTATGCCGAGTGACATTTAGCATGTCTCTTCCAAGTCCTGGGGTTCACAGTCCTCACAGACTAGTCTTCATTAAGGGTTTAGGCTACAGCACTCTATTTTGGCCGGTTTTGGAAATCAGAGACAGGGACAAAGGATGATGAAGCACACTAGGTCTTGTCTCAGCACAGACAGTCTGGGGGTAAGGACACAGGACCACAAAAGTACTATTGGATTCAGCAGTTTCAACACTGCCACTGAAACCCATGGGACCTACACATACCCAGCATCTCTTGCGCCAAATGTCAGATTTCAGTCCTCACTGAGTACAATGGTAGCTCTTCAACTCATGGTATTGCTAGAAGAATGATACTTTACAAGCATCAATGCTAAGTATTTCTATTTTATCCTTCTGGAACATGTAAATACTTAAGAAGTATTTTCAAACTGAAATATTTGTAGATACTCTAATACTTACAGTAAGTGCCACTGATCCTAGCAAAAGTGCAACTGAATAAACCAGTCCTTTGCTGTTTATTTTAACCTGTGGAAATGAGAAAAGACTTTTAAAATGCTAACCATATAACTGTGCTTTGGAGATCAAAAATCAATTTACTGATTTTAAGTCCACCTTCTGTTTTGAATAGCGCCTTACATATTTTAAATTACACAAATCCGTAACAGATGTATCCTAATGAAGAACGGGAAGATTAAGGAATCAAACTGAATGTAAAGTAATCCCATCTCCATTAAAAAAGAAGTGAGCATTTATAACAGATTTTATGTTCAAAATCCTCAGAAGAGGGAGATATGCTGTTATTCTGATTTAGAGACAAAAGTGCTAAGACACATGGAGACAAGTTTACTGTAAGTTGTGTAGCAAGAGAATGATAGAGCCATGAACCATCCATAGCAATAGTATTCTGCCACACAGTGTCATGTACTCCAGTTGACAAACTGGAAATTAACTGCAGCTTGTGGAAGAAAAATTGCTTCCTTAACTGGATTCCTTGTCAAAGAAATAACACCTTAGTGTTATTAGTATTAGTAACTAATAACATGATCAACAGGTTGGTTTTAAATTAATTCTATTTGCACTCTATTTGCATGCTTTCTTTTTAGGATTTTTTAAAAATAGAATAAAGGTGCAAATTAAAGATTTGCCAAGTATACATACAGTTGATCCATAATCGATTGCCATGGTCTGCAAACCCCATGGAACACCAAGTCCCACCAGAATGTCAAAGACATTGCTCCCTACTGTATTGGATACTGCCATGTCACCAAGGCCTGTAGAGGAAAAAAAAGCCAACAAAAACTAAATAAAATCAAAGTATATGGCCATTACACTGTGAACTGGAGGAAACTAAAGGGAAATGATCTGCATTGGTCCAATCGCCCTTGAAGTGGCCACAATGTCTGAGGTAGGCAGGCAATTTCCATAACATCAGCCTGACTTTGAAAAAAATGTGCAAAAATTGCTCACTCCAGCTACATCTTCCTTGTTTCTTGCAAAGCCTTTGCAGGGTCTGTGGTATCCATGCAGCACCTGAGGACTATGTCAAAAGTCTTGTTCTAGGTAGCCTGCAGCCACAGGGAACCTGAAGATAATGTACTGGACTTAGTATGTGGATATGTGACCTTTATCTCATGTGAATGAAAGGAGATCCTGAAAATAACCAGTTATTATGCATATCATAACCAATGATACTATGCACTTCCATGGGGCTTAATCAGTAATAATTTCATTTCAACAACAATAAAATTCTACAGGAAACGAAAAGAAAGGTAAATTGTGGTAAAGTAGAAAGATATTTTACAAAATCTACTTCTAATGCTCACCACTGGCTGGCATCTAATTCTGCACCAGTGTCAGTGGATATGATGAAGGCAAAATTCTTTGTCCCTGCTAACTTCTCTTAGACCTAACTGGCCTAACTATTGAATCACTTCCACTAAGTGAATACTGGAAAGGAAGGAACTGAAAAGAACAGGAACTCTGACATAAATGGGATATGTCCCAGAAATAGTTTCAGAGTAAACAGAGTGGAGACAGACACTACCATACCATAAATACATTATTTTCTAGCAGGAAGCTGCTGAAAGGTAATTCTTTGGATCCAAATTATGTTCCATCTATACCTGTCTGCTTTCTGTCAGTGAACAACTCTCTTGAATTCAAGCACTGCAAATTCCCTGCACTGTCTTTAAACGCATTAGGCCCCTTTTTGTTAATCTAGTGCTTACCTTTACTTTCAGAGCAAACAACCTTTGCAGTATTTTTGTCTAGTACAACAGAAGAACTAATCTAAAGAAGCAGATTGTTAATTTAAAAATGTAATATTTTCCTAGCTCTTGAAAAAACCTGCTCACTTTAATTAATACACGTGCAAAATTAATTTAGTAGGAAGGTAGTTCCATAATAATTCTGAATAATTTGTTGTATTGTTCTTGTGAGAATATTTTGCACATAACAAATAAAGCAACATGGAAGATTATATACTTTGAATGTATAACACTTCTCAAGCAAGCAACATTTAACAGCACTACTCCCATCTCAAATTACAGAGGTGGAGCTTTTGAGTACTTTATTTATCACTGCAAAGCCCTTGTTGTTTGCTCAATGACGTGTGCTGGAGATATCATTATCTTACAAAAAAAGAAAGGCTATGGGAATTGGAATAGTGAAAAAGAATAAAATTATGTCTTTTTCTTACTCTACTACTGTACAGAGGATCACACTGTCAGCTCTAATGTTTTTCTAACAACAGAAAGAGATGCTGCTACCAACGTTTTACAAATTAAAAAAAAGAAACATAAAGAAACTTAAAAAGAATTTAAATATAAATGAGAAAGCCTTTGAAAATTTCAAATGGACAGCTGAGGAGGATGCAGAGGTCAGTAATCCAAAACTCTTTCCAGTGCAGCTATTCATATGTTCCAGTGGGAAAGAGGTCTGCATTTGGATGAGAACTCTGCCTAGAGCAACACCACTTCTGCCAGATCCTCTCAAACAACTTCACTTCCTTGGATTTGAGAGGTCTTCTAGAAATCAGTACAAGTTTTACATGGAGAAGTTCTGGTCAGTATACATTCTTCAATGTAGTTTTCAATAGCTGATATTCTAGTTTTGCCTATGACTTTTGTCCTTTTACCCTGACTGATACATACCATGCATTAGGCATTTGAGGTTGAGTTACCCTATGGAATGCCCTGTCCAAATAAGCAAAAGATAATTTTTTGGTTAGCAATAATTAGCAAACTTTTTTGGCTTTTAATGAGGTACTGAAACAGTAAAAATGAAAATAAAATTATAAAATTGCACTGACAATTTGTGTGTATGGAGGAAGCAGATCACAGAGCACATATGTAAGATTGCAGCTATCCCTCAGCAGACACAGTACCTTGTCTTGCCACTATTAAGCTGGCCATGCAGTCTGGGACGCTTGTTCCTGCAGCCAGGAAAGTAATGCCCATGATCACATCTGGTATCCCAAGGGTGTATCCAATCACAGTCACCTGAACAAGGAGGAAGGTACATTAACTTACCATGTTTGGAAAGTCTCCTCATTCCAATACAGTTGTGGCATACTCTTAACTTTGATTTCTGGTGTGGACTCTAACAGGAATAAACTCAGAATACTCATCCCTTTCTGCAAATTAAATACTTATGGAATAACCAGCCTAAAATCAACCCTCTGCAAAGGAAAAGGACTTTGGGTCTTATTATTCAACATTCTACGGACAAACAAAATCTCTACCTCTTGCTGTTCTAACATGACGTACTGCTGTTTTAAGGAGATACAATACAATCTGTGAGTTTGGCATTTTTTTTTTTGGTTTCCACAAAGGGCAAGACTCTCACTGGTTCTATTCTCAAAAGGACTGTAACCAATATTATATTGTAATACAGTGGCAGGGATATAAATAACTTATTATAACCTAACACATAAAGAAGGAACTAGTTTCTTGCATGACTTCTCATATAATCCTGAAGTGAGCAGGTCTGGTTATATTGTCCCATGATATTCCAGATGCAGCTTGAAAAGAGCTTAGGCAATCACTGAAGGTTGAAGCAGAGTTCTTAGAAAGGATAGGGAACTGTATTTAGCTGGAACATCCAAAGAGGGCTGAAAAAACATCAAGAAAAGGCAGCTGAAAAGGAAACAGGCTTGTGAGAGCAAGAAGACTGAACCAGGACAGACAGCTGTTTCCCTGCTGAGACTGCTAAGGATGGAAGTCTTCTAGGTTATGTGTTGTTTCCTTGAAATAGTTTTCCAATCTATCATATGAGTAAAATTGGACCCTTCACTAAAGAAAAGGTGTATTTTAGGAACTCACTGACAAACCTTATCTTCAGGGGCAAGCAGAGACCCAGGAATAGAAGTCAGCATGATTCTCTTGCTGAGACAGATAACAATGTACTATGGTCCAGCTACCTCTTAAAGTAGTACAGGCTGCAGCCTTAATGAGCACTTCTCTCACTTGTGAAGAGAATGTCTATATATGGAACCAAGGTACAGAGTATGACCTTCCAAAGGACATAAGATACAAATGTGTGGCTTTGGCTGGGAAATTAATTTCTTAGACAACAGACTGTTAGACAATCCTCTAACAGTCTATTTTAGAGGATTGTTTTACAAAGTAAAAATGATATAGAAAGTTGCAAAAAGTATATAGAAAACGCAATCTTTCATGAGAGGAAACATAAAGGGGTTTTCAAATACCTGACAGGCATTTGAGGAAAGTAGAGATGTTCTCCACTACCCTCCTGTACTGTATTGTGCCCTATACAGTAAAGGCCCAATTATTTCTGCAGAAAAAAAGGCAGTAAAAAGCTAAAATAATAATTATTATTGTACGAGTTGAAGAGACTGCACTACGATTACATGCTTTTCTTTCACAAATGCACAGAAGATTTTTACATACTTTGAGATTCCACTCACTATGAAGTCATGCTACATACACTTACCATCCACACCATGAAGTAGGAGAACAAGGCAATCCAGAGAGTGGACAAGATGAAGGTCAGCATAAAGCACTTCTCCCAGCGTGGTTTGCTGCAGTTTGGAATTGTGGTAAAGAGCACGAATATCAATGGCCATGTCAAAAGCCATTTAATTTTGTTCATTTTTCCATCTGCAGGACAAAGGAAAAAGAGTTTAGCCTTCCCATCATTATCCCAGGCCCAGTTGCACCTCTCTGAGCAGAGCAGATGATCCCAGAAGGATGTTTACATCGTGCATATCAGCTCAGTTTCCAGGGTACCTTTCAACAATACTTGGCCTTGTCACTTTCAGCCAAGTTCTGTATGCTCATCCAGAATCTTCTTACAATTAAGCCTGCCAAGATCTATGAAAGTCCACAGAAGAATTAAAATTATTTAAAATCACGGCTAATATAAATACCAAAATTAAGTCAGGTTTGTTGCTCTTTCAAATGTATTACTACTAATCCAGAATTAAAAAAAAAAAATCAGCAACAAAACCAACCATGCAAAAAAACCCACCTTCTCACCTTAATGGAAATACCAAAATCCAAGTGGTGAAAATAACTTGTACATTCTGTGCAGCAACAGAAAACAGAAGCACAAGACCCAACCAATGAGTCTTGGCAACCCACGGCAATTTTTTTTCATATGCATCATTGTTCTAAATTGGGCAGAAGTTTAAATAAAATGATATTTAGAGGATCTAGATTTGTTAAGTCTCTCTATCTGCTTACAACATCACCTTGACATGGTAAAAGAAAACTTCTGGAAAAGGAAACAAGGTAGTGATTTCCCTTGTACAGCTCTCCGAAATCAACTGGTGAGAAATACCCAAGAACTATCATCACTGAAGACTGGTAGACACCTTGTAATTTGTTTAAAATTTACATTATTGCAAATGTAATCTCAACACATACAACAGAATTATTTTTTAACTGGGCCATAAGTAAATGGGGTATTATTTATACAGTTCGTGAGGCATCCTTCAAGTAGGATGACAAATTAGTCCATCAGGCTAAGTCAGAGTATCACAACCAACATCATGGCCATTTTGGCTTGGGCTCTCTTTACATCATGTTAGAATGTTGTCAGAATTAAGTAGGGGTTTCCATCACTAACTCATAATGCTATGCTTGAGATCGACTAAAATATCCTGTTTTGAATAAAATCACTGATCCCATTGAAGGAAATTATCAGGTACATCTTCCAGTGAAGTTATTTAGCTACATTATAAGGAACAGTTACTAACCAGCTCCTACCAATTTCACCAGTAACTTTCTTTCAGCAATGACTTTGGGAATTAAGATGTGTTTAACAGGAATTTTTGTTAGCGATTTTAATTGGATTGAACTCAGTCCTCTGGACCAATGTGCACCAGAATGCAATGAAATGTAATATTTAACATTTTAAAATTAATAATACTTTTATAATTTATGAGGCTAATTTAACTTGTTGAGTCCAAATGTAAGCTTTTATGCACTTGCTTTTGTATATATTCTAGAACTAAATCTTCTTGCTTGAGTTATGAAACAGCTTTCTAACTTGAGATCTCCTTGTGAATTTTGAAATGCCATCAACTCATCAGAAATTCTTAAACTAAGCTTTGCTCTTTATTCCCATTTATAGCTTGTGGCTGTGGAACTTCTAATACATAAAACTCCTGAAGTGTCACAGGGTCATTTCTAATTCTAGACTTTCACATGTCACTGAGGATCTATTACAGATTTTACAGGAAAAACCTTTTTCTCTCTGCTTACATATACTTCTGCACAGATGTTTTTTAAAACAGTTATCTTTTACCTGTTCTATCCAGGAAATGACACTTCTTGGCTCACTTTCTTCTTTAATTGTTAACAAGGCTGTAAATATTCTACAAAATATCCTATTGTAATTTCCACCCCCTCCTGCTTAATTTGTCTCAGTGTGGATTACTCAAAGACTGCCAGATAGTTAATTTGTACTCTGTGTACTCACATTGCTAAGCTTGGTTCATAGTCCAACAAGTAAGCATGGCCTAGGCCAGTAATATCCTCAGCACCTAACTCAAGTGCAGGGTCAGTGGATGATTGAAAAAATGATGGATCCAGATCTGATCTGTGTGGGTGTAATCTGACTGACTTTGGTGCTGCTACACACAGGCAGTCCCATCTCTCTTTTCAGTAACATAAATAAACAGAATTGCCTTAAGAACAAATAGAGCCTCTGCTGGGGAATATGCATCTTGTCTGGGATCCTGTTTAGTATGCTGAATTACTCAAACAAATGCTTAACTGAGAACACATAGTGCCTTACCACTGGCACAGCTATGTTTGCTCATTTCCAGGAAAACCTAAGTACTAGAGGGGGAGGACTTGCCTTTCCATTATCTTTGCTGAGTTTGAATGGATGTGTGTCAGATTAAAATTCCTGGCTCTATTAGTGGTGATGTTTTACCCACACAATGTCTTGAGATGAAACTGCTTAGCTGGATGGTTTGTGGGAGTGACATTTGCATTCATTACATGGCAACTAGGCTTGAGACTTTGGGGACCAGCAGTGTGTAATTCTGGGGTTTGCTGGGTCAACAAGAGAAGCCAAGTGGCCATTTCCAGTTAGCCTGCTATAGTTCAGAACCACCATGGCCAAAGAAGCTTACTTGACACATTCTGCACTGGCTTCTCTTTTGTATTTTGGTTTTCTAGCTATTGTAAACTTTTATATAAAGCCTTAAGTATATCTGGCCTTGGTTATACCTCAGGCCTTTATTCAGCTCCTACTATTCATGGAACTTGTGTGGTGCACAGGGCTGAAGAAGTCTGCTCTTATGCTGTAACTTGGCGGTTTTTTAAGACTTTAAGTACATTTAGCAGCAACCTCAAAGAAGTGAGACTTTATTTCCTCAGGAAACTGATGCCTTTATTCATTTCACCTGGCTTAGATGAATGCACAATCAATACGCAGCTTGAAGATGCAAAATATTTTTTTTTTCAGCTCTTTTTAAGGTATTTATTTTGCCATTCTATTGTTTTGGTTTTGACCACCCACTCTAAAATAATAATAATTAGAAAGATTTAATGATTAAGATGTTGAAGTGAAGTATGCTTATAGCTCATGACAAATTGTTCTACAACTGCTGAGTAGCTCCCTAGTACATCTGTAAGGAAGAAAATGATCATTCTCATTTAGGCCATTATTCAGTACACAGCTGTTCTGTCCCATTACAAGACCCGAGCACAGTTGTTTTAACAGCGGTATCACCCACTCCTGTGAGCCCTGGGTTTAAAGGCTCCTGCATCAACCCACACAACCAAGGAAAGGTGCATTTTGCACCCCCCCTCCCCACAATAATGAAAGAATATTGCTTTATTACAGAAAGCAACACTGGTCTACATGCTGTAAAATGCTATAATGTAAAATGCTGTAAAACAAGAAGATGAGGGTTTTTTTGCAAGGAGTTGTTTTCACTACTTCATACATCCATTTTTTCTGTTTCCACAGATATTTGGAAACCAAGCATGCCAAGTATTTCAGAGAGGTATCATTACAAAAGAGCTTGATTACAATGTTTTTGAAAATGAAGTGGCAGCCCTACAACAAAGAGCAATGCTAATTTTCAATACATTCCTGGACTAGTCATCTTTCCAGATATTATGCTCACAATAATTACTTACACATACAGATAGTGTCCTGGTGAACAAAGACAGCAACACACATCACAGCACTGAGAAGAAACAAGTATTTCCTTAAGGTGCTAAAGAAAGCATATCTTACAGAAAAAACAGAGGCCTATTTGCAACACTCAGAGAGCTGAGAGGAGCTCAGCACAAAAGTGTGAAACGACATTTGTGTTCACCTTTAGATCAGAAGTGTACTCTTGAAGTAAATGTACTGATTGACCCCACTTTGTGCTTTCAATTTACTTTATTTTAGCCTGCAACACAGAGCAGCCTTGTATCACACCCATAACATTCCCTTGGTATAAAGCTGTACCAGAGGCACAGAATTAAAAGTGCTGCAAGTAATAAGGGACATTTTGTCCACAGGACCAAGCTAGAGCTAGTCTGAAACAGAATTTGCAAAGGCACACAGTGCAGACAGCCCACATGTCCTAGTAAATAAGCTGCAGAGAAGAAACTTCTTCAATTTTGAATAGAGTGGAGTCTGTAACTACACCATCAGGAATCACATCTAAGTTGCTGCAGTTAATTAAATTTGATAGCTTTTCCACTTAGTTTTCCCCTTAAAGGCGTGTCAGCCAAGCACAGATCTCAGTTCCATACATTAGTTACTTCAGAACATGCCAAACCTTCCCAAGTGAAAGAAGCAATCACTAGAGCTGACTGATCTGAAAAAATTATAATATCCCTGAAAGACATGAATCTAATTGGCACATAGGAGCTGTTTGTGATTCCATATAAATCTCTTACTTAAGTAAGATAACTTGAAAACTAGGAAAAGTATTCTCTAATTGAAATGAGAAAGGCTTTCTGAAGTTTACTATCCATTGCTGTTTTTCCAGGGTTTTTTTGTTGATGGTAAACTTAGAGTGAAAATGCAGCATATCCAGGCTTGCCTAAAAAGATTATGGTTGCAAACTTTTTTCATGCTTCACTTAATTTTTAATTTTTTTTAAATTCCTCTTTTATCTTTTTAAATCTCTCTATCATTTTTCATTTGGGAAGGACAAACCTCAACCAACCAAACAAAAAAACCCCATTTGTTTTTTCTCCAATTAAAAATGATTTTCCAAACACCTGTCCCCTTGGTTCTAATTAAGCTTTGTATTTATAAAGATGAATTTACACCCACATATTATTATCAGTATCAATTCAGTTCTCAACCCGAAAATGTGTTAAAGTAACACATGTGCCTCTACACTAGGAGCTTTGTAATAACCTACACAGCAAGTAAATTTCTATTAGAAAATGATGTTCATCAGAGCTTAGACTGATTGGAAAACTTCAATATAAGTAAATTAGACAATCTGAAAACTTAATTAATTTCTAGTCATGTGCAGTACCCAAAACACAACAGAGAAATACAAATTTTTCTCCCAAGCATCGTACTCAATATAGAAACAACTGAAACAGATATAACAAACTAGATCTATTGTGAATTTTCCATCAGAATTATTTTCCACAGAAAAATGTCTGTTGCAAAACAATATAAAAAATTATTAGAAAATGGCTTTCAATTTTTCATTAGGAAAATTAACACAGCAGCTAACCCTCCATCTTCTTGGAAAATTCTTACTGATTTCAGCTCATATATATTACCCTATAAATTGTGGAGGCAAGAGATTCTCTGTATGAGCACACTAGAAAAAGGCTATGCAGTGTGTAAAACAGTATCCAAAAAGGCTCAAGCCTTTATCATCCTTCCAAGTGGGCACCAGACATATTAAAATATTTTTACTGCAGTTCTCCTGCAACAGACCTTCGGAAACTTTTTTTTTCCCCTTTGGAAAATACCGAGGTTTTACTTCTCATCCTCATTCAAAACAGACTATTTTTCAACCTACTGATACTCTTCTCGGAAGTTTCATTTTCCGGAATACAAGTTCCAAATTCCAGACCGTGAATCTGTCCAAAACAACTCAGATTTCTATTTTCAGCCTGTGCCTCTACCACACTTTGAACATTTGGATTCACGCCAATAATTTTCTTTGAAATACAGAGTTTTGCTACAGCAAAAACTGGTCAACAAAAAAAGAATTTTCTCCAGTACACAGAAACAAGCTTTACTCTTAGAGTTACAATAGGCTTACACAAGACAACACTCAGCCAAAATAAGATATAACTGAAGAGAGGTACTCCCCATATCTTGTTAGACTTGGCTGGATTTTGGCCTGGTTTATTTCCTATGTTTTAACTTTGTTTTCTAAGAGCTACAGCATCCTGAGTGTTCAAGTGAGATACTCTGGGTTTGTCCAGCATGTTTCCAGTAATGGAAGACATGAAGTGAAGCAAGTAGGAGCCAGGTTCAAAGTGAGTAAAAGGGTCTTCACAGAATCATGAAGCTCCTTCCCAAAGGATGTTGTGAGTGTTAAATGTTTGCAAAGATTCAATAACAATTAGATATTAACATTAGGTTAATGAAGAAGAAACACACTAAGGAATTTTAGATCAAAATTTTACATCCAGTCCAGGAAGTTCCTTGAGGTGAAACAGCTGAACAGTAACTCGTCCTGTTACATTCTTCCACAGGCTTCTTCATAAAATCATGTCTCAAGTCAGAATATTGAGATAAACATTTGCTTTGACCAAGTACTAACATTTTAAATGTTGTTCATGTTAATTTTTTTTTGCTTCTATCCTAAATGTTATCTTTGTATTTTGGATCCAAACAAAAATGGATAGGATTGTAATCTCCTTTATTGCCATCTCATTTTAGCTCTAGGAATTATTATTCCTGTTTTAGCCAACACCATCATGACTTTATATAAAGCATCCGTGCTCCAATTCTGTAAGAGAAGTAGTTCTTCATTCCTGTGAAATGATCAGGAGCTGAGATCACAGAGTATTTTAAAGGGTGCTGCACATGTGACAATGGAAGGGATTTAAGCATCCATTAAGAGCTGCACTGAAGTGCTTTTCGGAGTCTGGGCTCTAAAAGACCACTGAGCTATGCAAGGGCTTTAACACAGCATTTTGTTGTCAACATATGCCTGCCCAGTTTTGTCCTATTTTATTCTGATCTGTGGGATGGTTTTTTAAAGTTTAAGACCTGTTTTCAAACTACTGTGGACTAATCAAACTGTAAAGTTTCAAATGTGCTTTTCTCTTGGGAGATAATCATCATACTTTAAAGGTGAGGTCAAGAAAGAAATTCCTCTTTTAAAGAAAATGTGTTTTTTCCCACACAGAAGCCAAAGGCAAAGGCTGTTTGAATGATATCATATGCAGTTTCCATAAAAACTGTATGTTTTCTCCTTTTTCAGGATGAGCCTGAACCACACCCACACTGGGGAGTGAGTATCTCTGGATGTTTGACAAAGGGGATATATGCTGAAACAGTTTGAGACTGTTTTCATGTAACAACTATATTCACTATTTCTGCTTGCTAAAGCTCTACACTTTGCTGAGCATTCCTGTTGACAGAGGATAAAAAAAGAACAAAATGCAAAAGACGCATTTTGAGATGACAAATAATAACTGTGAATCACTCAGAGATGAAACTTTATACTTCACTTACATTTACTTCTGTTTCAGAAAAAACCAACTTGTTCTTGCAAAAATATCTAGAATATGCAATTTGAAGAAAGAAAATCAAATCCCAAATTAGGCTAAAAAATGTGACTACAAAGCAGCACAAAAAAAGGGGTTGGGCCAACTCACAGCCATTGCAGTTGCAGCTCCTAAAATACAAGAGTGGATTTTTTACCTAGGACACCACAACCAGTTGAACTGGAAAGTGGCATTGAAAACTGAAAGCCTATTCTTCACAGAACAATTTACAGCACTGAAATAATACACAGATTTCTGATCTTTAGAAAATGTATGTGCCTTATTCCTGGACTGAAAACATATCAAAGAAAACCAGAGGGAATTCTTGGAAACTCTCTGCAAACTACCTTTTCCCTGAAGCCAGTTTTAAATGTCAGGATTTTTTTAGGCTACTGATTGTGCCACAGTACTGAAACAACAACAAAACATGATGCTGGGTTCTCACATTTTCACCTAACTTATTAAAATGGTGCTTTTGGAAGCATAATGAAATAATTCTCAGTCAGAATATATGAGTTGAGCAATGAGAATCCGACCAATGGATAATCAACTCCAGACAACAGGAATGACAATACATGAAGATAATGATGAGGATTTTATACCATCACTTACTCCCTCTACACAACTCTCTTGAGCTCATGTTGAACTTTTGCTCCATTCAGTATGAACTGAATCACCAGTGGTTCCACTCTGGCCTGTTAAACCTCATTTTAAACACTTTTGAGAAAGTGTTTAAAGATAAACACTTTCTCAAAAGTGCAGAAAAAATACATCTAAAGAAGACGAGTGACATAACTAGTAACTTCCACTTTAGTTCAAAGCCTTTTGTCTATTGTGAACGTCACACACTTAGGAAGATCTAATCTGAAATTTATCTATGTTTTATTCATAAAAAAGCTGCCTGGAATGTAAGAAGAAATGCATGATTGCACTACCCCAATCAAAACTCGTATCCAAAAACCATCTCAGTTTAAAAGTCTTCCTTGCCAACACATGTAAGGGTGGCACTGGTGCTGGACAGAGTGCTCGAGGCAGCAGTGGGATCTCCGTCTCTGGCAGCTCCAAAGCAGCGCTCGGTAACGCGCTTTAGTGGGCACGTGGCAGCGTCGGGGTCACGGCTGCACTCACACAAATACCAGAGGTTTTTCCCAACCTTAATGATTCTAGAATTTGATGATGCTTAGATGGTTTGGGGAGACATTTTTCCTTTTTACAAGTTGTTTATTAATTTCTGTTGTTTTTATTACTATTACTCCTCTTATCATTAATGCACTCGTGTACAAAGCATATTGCTGACTTGGATCCTGTTAGTTCACCATACAGTAAAAATATTTTTTCACTATCTCATGAATGAACAGAAGCCCACCTAATGGGCCTATCTTCAGTCAATTAGTTTGCTTCCATTCCTCACTCCAATTAGTAACTGCTGACTGCAAAAAGCTCCTGTGGGAGCACAGTAACATACGAAAATATACAGTATCATCTAGTCTTCACATAGTATACTTCAATGTTTGTTCAATCACAAGCATCTCTTCTACAATGACTGCATCTGAAGCAATGGGATCACTAAGAAATTAGATATAACATGGAATACCCTTCTTTTTCACTGCATGTGGTATTTATCCATGCCAAGCAATACTTATGTTAAACAGTAATTATGTGACAGACTACGTGTCTGTGAGGGCTGATCTAATCTTTGCTATCTAATCTCCAAAGCATTTGGGCAAGAGTCAACCTGCAATGTGCTAAGGGCACCAGCACAAGAGGTTGGTTATACATAGCCCTTTACACTAAAGAATTTCAAAATAATTTCAAAAGGTGAATGCTATTGTGTACAGCTATTCTAACAACTTTAAACACTCTTTCTCTCCCTAAATATTTTTTTACTTTTCATCCAAGAAGCCTCCCCTGCTACAGTCACTAAAACAATTGATTATATATTTATACACCAAGGTGCATCTGGCCTAGCAATTTCCAGCAAGTCATTATTAACTGTTGACTTCAAAATCACTCACAGCGCAGTGCTCACCAGGTCATTCTGACATGTTTCAATATAAACTCCCCTTTCCTGCTTTCCTTTCACCTCTGGCACATCAGCACTTCTACCATGGCTGTCCATGATGACTGGAAAACACTTTCCTAAGGTCTGGTTTTAGCCACCCAACCTCCAGCCCAGTTTTACTGTCAGCAAATCCATCCTTCAGACAGTCAAACCAATCCCTTTTCTCCTCTCTCCCCACTTATGTTGTCTTTCTTACAACCCAGTGTTTGGCGTTTAAATTATCTTCTTTTCCAGTACTATATACATCTAGAAAGTAAGCCTTACCTGGCACTGAAAATGGAGTTAGACTGTCCTGTTCGTTTTCCTCCACTTGGTTTCCCACAGGGATGTTTCCATTTTCAATATTCTCCTGTCTCCTGTTCTGAAGTGCTTTGCTTGAGCCATTGGCAGACTGGATTAGCCGCTGACGCTGCGGGGTCAAAACACAAAACTGCCACAGTTCAGAAAGTATTTACTTTGCAAAATCTGAGTTTTGTTCTCTGTCCAGCCCCAGTCACAGAAGCCATTGAATTTCTCCTCAAAGCTTTCCTTCCAGTCAACAACAAACATATTGACTGGTAGTGGTCTACCAGTCCTCATCAGGATTCACATCCACTTCAAAATTACTGGCAGGAATCTTCAAGCCATGACGGAGAATGTTGTAATATCTGTTGTTCCACACCATGTTTTAACCAATGTAGTTATTCTAAAGCACTTCTTACTCAAGAGTTCCCACTCAAACCAGCAATAGTACCTTAATCAAATGGTAACACTGAAGACAACTCTGCACAATTAGACTTGGCTTATGAATGACTCATTATTCAGAAGCTTTCCTTCTCAGATCCAACTCTTCTCCCTCCTTAACTCCATTCATTGAGGTAAATTTGAACTTCTATTTTTAATTTCAAAAGCAAGACTAATCCCTGCTGCCCTTGTCCAAGTACATGAAGCTCATAATTGGCCCTGCAGACATGTATAAGAACTGCTGCTGTTCCAACACAATACAATATCAACAGATAACTCAAACAGTCCAGGGCAAATTCCCCTCATGAAAATGTTTTGGGCCATTTTTGAGGACTACAGTGAATACTAAAGAGTAAGCAAATCTCTGAAGAGATCCTGAAGTGTTAATAATACAAGAGTAGTTTTTAAGCATTTTGGTTGCCTTGTCAATTACCCCTTTTTTTAACCTGACCACTTTTGTAATAATCAAAACCAATTCTTCTGCTATAAATAAAATCTAAATGCACACACACACACTGAAATAAACATCTTCTGTTAGGGAGATAAGATAGTCCCTCCTTTTTGACAGCCCTCCCATTAAAACAAGCAGCATCATCGGTTGGGAATCAATCTTCAAATCTGTTCTCATATACCTGCTTGAGAAAGACACAGCTCTATCCCAATGCAGGAACATGGGAGAATCTAAATTCCAGAATCACTATGAGCACAGCTCTTTGGTAGCCCCTCTGCCTCATGGTCATTCTCTGTTTTCCTAATGAACATACCTCGTTAATGATGAGTCGGCTTGCCATCCGCATTCTGGTGCGTGGTCCGAATTTATTCGTAATCATAATCCGTAATCCAGCTTCAGGGAACCGGTACTTGGGAGGACTGGAGCAGATGATCTCATCCACCATCACAACACTGTTTTTGCCATACTGCTGTATCCCCTTCACTAATGATCACAATGGACAGAGTTAGCAGTGTAATTGACCTTACCATGCGTCCCATCCTCCAGAGTCAGGTCTCTTCAGGCTCAGGTGGGGGAAATATTAATCTGAATTTATGAGTTACTTTCCTTTAGTATTTCTGCAGCCTGGTGAATCTCCTCATCAGTTGTGTGCTTTGTTTAGATCACATGCTGGAAAGGGATTTCACTCTACTAAGGTAGCCACCAAGCCACTGTCAGGTTACTGGGAGCAGTTTTTCCCCAGCTGCTCATGATGTAGTTAGTACCAGTTTTCTTTGCTTATGTCCCACTAGAGCTTTGTACCCCTTCTCTAGAAGTGCTTGCACTGCGGCAGTATAGACAGCACCCCTGAAACCTCTAAAGCTATTCCACTGGATCAAGGTGCTGCACATCCAGAAGGTCCTAATGTTGTGCTCACTCCTTCTGGAAATCTTCACTTTACCTTCACAGAATATTTCCAGTATCTCTCACGTAAAAAGATTTGAAATGATGAAAAACAATTGTCAAGAACAAATCTATGCTATAAATAAGCCTTTGCTAATATAAAGGAACCCGTACCAAGTGTAAGATTACAAAGTTAATGAAGTTCTACCCGTAGAGACGAAATTTTATTTGGAATCAACACAAGTACAGGTAAGGACTTCAGAAGCTCACCAACAAACCAATAGTCTCACAAATGCTACAGACTACACACAGCAAGCAGAGCAAGGCTCAGCAGACAGGAGACATACCCATGTGGTGTTAGAAAGCAGGGCAGAAAATACATACATGACTATAATAAATATTAATTGCTACATATAATAATAGATACAGAAAAACAAATTATTTGCTGCTCATTTTCTGCTTTGCTTAGCTTGGCCTCCCCCTCTCCCTCCCCTTTTGCATTGTTACTTACATTAGGAAGAGGAGGAGAATTTAGGAGGTAGAAGTGAAAGATAATTAGTGCATGGTTCCAGTCAGGAAGCAAGGGAAATCTAAGAAAATATTCAACTCAAACAATGGAATTAAAAAGGACCTGTTCTAAACACACAGAAGCCTATATTGTTACTCTTTCACATTGATACAGTGTTGAAATATTTTTGTTTTTCAGGAAGACTGGATCCATGCATGCATCCAAGTCACATCATGCAATAAAGACTTTGCTGTCTCAAGCATCTTCTAGCATATTTGCAGTTAAAGAAATACATCCTCCATAATGATTCAACAGGAAAAACCAGCAATCCTGTAAATCACCAGTAGACATCTGTAACTTTTACCCTTCAGCATCTGAGTGTCTTGCCCTGTTTCACTAAAACGGGTTCAGTGAGTATTTGGGGTCACCTGAAGTGTCACAAATATAAGATCTCTGGTTTCACAAAGAATTTGCCCTACTCAAATAAACCACTCTGCACTCTTGCTTGCAGCTTAACATCTCTAGTACAGAATAGAAGTACTAGTAATTTTACATTTGCTAAATGTAAAGGAGCAATTACTCTCCTCCATCCCAACACCTAAACCAAATTAACCTCTGTGAATACTGTGGCTGATGATGCAAATAAGGAGCACATCCACTCCAGTGACCCTTGGAGTGCAGCAGCTTTTCTGTGAAGTAATACTCAGCCAGACAGGTTTCCTAGCAATCAGTCCTCACAGAATAGGAGTCAACCACATAAATGTAACATTTGCTTCAGTTGAAGTGAAAGAAATGTTTGACAGCAATGCTGGTAAGGCAAAAAGACCAGATATTAACAGTCTCATCAGATTAACTGCTCCCAAGTGAGCTCCTCCAAAGAATTAACCAAAATGCTTTATCTTACAGTGACATGAAAAACGCGGAAGCACTGAAGTTACTTTGAAACTGTTTCTTAGAGCCCTAGGAAGACAGTGAACAAACACTCAGCTTTGATTAAAGTACCATAATTAAAAACTCAGTGCTGATGTAGAATACCTCATGCTAAATAAACATATAAGTAATTGCAGCTATTCTGACTAACTGCAGCACATTGCTTTTTATTATTTTCATGATTTTCAGTTTGACTCCCTGTGCCTGTAAAAATATGTATCTTACCCCATATAGTATGGACTCCACCTAAAAGTTGTTTTAAGAAATGTATAAAGGAGAAAATAATTTTGTACTTCTAATTTGTGATAATTCTTAAAAAAAAAAAATAAATCTGAGAAAAGCTTTTCTTTCCAACAAACTTTCTGCTCACCACCAAAGGTTCATCACCAACAGCCCTGTCAAAATCAACAGAAAGCTTCTTGATGTCTTTAGCTCTGAAACCTGGTCCCTCAGAAATTCACTTTTGTCCAAAATTTCTGGTTTCAGGCAGGGGTCAAACCATGCCACCTGGTGGAAATTCGGGTCAACATAATAAAAGGCAAGGGTAACACAAATTTGTACTTTGAAAATTGGAGTAGTATTCACAAAGTACATCTATTTTGCCTTTACCTGTGTTTGCAGAACTCACCCTTGAAATGAAATTTTTCTTATGGTGAAATCTGTCCTTTTTCTTTCTCAAACTTGAGTGATGAAAAGATTCTATATTGTACCACAGGAAGCCGTTGAAAGTAATGAACCTTACAAGCATAAAAGAGCTTTACAGTGTGTCCTAAACCACTACACACTGTTACACCTTTTACCTGCACCTTGAGCAACACTATCCTTGCTAGAAACAAAGTTCCTCACCCAAAGCAACTGTTCCTTTATGGGAAGTAATTGGGCTTTCCTCCTGTGGAAAATCAGATTAAGGTCAAACCTACACCTTGGTGAAGCCAAGAGAGGTTTTCTGGTGGATCCTAGAAGCTGCTAACCAGTGGTTGAAAGCAAGGCAGAGGCCAGCCCCAGTTCCCTCCTTGCTATTAGCAGTGCTCCTTTCTGAAAGCTGCTGCTGGGGAAAATGCAGCTCAACTTGTGAAGCCAGCATGTGTCAACTAAGAGGAAGCCACTGATGGGTCATGGCATACTTTGAGAGAAGAGGAGAGAAGCTAGAGGCAGCCATGTGACAGTTTTCTAGGACAGCATCTTGACACATAAAGCAGTTAGGCTAACACTGCCATCCTCCCCTCCCACTGCTCACTCCAAATCCTTAATCTCTTCTTTCTGTACCTTCTCATCCCAGCCACGTTTGCCTACGACACTATCCACACTCCTGCTCTTTGAGCAGTTGCCCCTCCAATGCAGTGTGTATTTGTGTAATGGGTGATGGAGAAGGCAAAGGGCATCTGACTGAAACTGCAGTACCAGGGCATCTTTGAGGGAAAATCAGAAAAGAAATCTGATGTGGACCGTTGCTGGTGGAGCTTCCATGCTTCTTTCTCCATGTTCTTCACCAAGCATTGAATAATTTCCTTGAAAAGGAAACAGGTGGACAGGCAAGCACTCAGTGCTATTGCCTCTTTACCACAAGGACTAGAGGGGAGAGCCTGCTGGGAGATGACCTCAGAACCCAAACTCCTAAAAAGTAAAAACCACTAATATCTGTGGTGTTCCATTGGATTACCCTTTTCCCATGTCTCCACTTGAGTACAGGAGGCATCTGTGGAACCTTGCATGGACACAAATCCACATCCAAGTGACAGACCTCACTATATGAGAGACAATGCTGCCAAAAGTTCATTATAAAATGAGAGGTATTTCAAAGTCACTGTCACTTAGTTATGCTACAAGGTCATATGAACAATAATTTTAAATGAGTATTGTCTAATCACCTTATCTAGGACCAGAGCAGCAGTGTGCTGTCACTGAATAAACCTGTAGCTACCTATATCTGCCTTTAAGAAATCCCAGCCTAAACACAAAAAGCAGAAAAGAGTGGGATTCTCTGAGTCTGCTCTAAGTTCCTGTTTGGCATTATTTGTTATTAAATGAGGATCTTTCCAATGCTACCAACATTGCTGATGAGCTCAGCCTCCTAGAATGGGAGATGTTTGTGAAGAACAGAGGAGACCTCACTTGTTAAGAGCAGCCCAAGTACTCATTAAATCACATGACTTGTGCTTTGAAAGTGGAGTGATTTGGCTCTACAGAGAAAAGAGAGAATGGGAGAGAAGAGAAATAAGACAAAGATGAAAACTGGCTTAGAAAACAAGCCAAAAATACTCAGATATTTTTGCTTAATTTCAGTACCAGAAACTGGATATCATCTTCTTTACTTTATGACAAAGACAGAAATAGCAAAGAACCTGCATTTTTTGATATTACATGTGTCTGCTGATGTATACAGACTATTTAGGCATGTGAAAACCAATCTTCTGAGGATCTGAACCCAACATGTAACCCCTCTTGCCCACTGATCTGCCCCATCCTTTCCTTCAACATCCACATCTCAGCTTCTCATTCCAAATTAATTTTTGAAGTGAAAATTGCCTTCTTCTTGGTAAAAAAAAATGTATTTCTTTTACAATCTTGTGGCTCATCACTGAACAGGAGATAAAAAGGGAGTAAAATTGCCAATGTGCAAAGCAGCTTGTTTTCAGAATATTAAAATTTTTTTATTTTTTTTTTTAATGTGGCAATCTGACAGCTGAATAATCAAGTTAACCCTGCTTACAATTGAATAGTGACACTGTTTTGATCCTCATTAAAGAAATAGAAAGGATATCCTGTGAGCTACTCTTTTTCCAAGTCCTGTCTGCTCAGCCTTACCTTTCCATAGTAATGGAATGGATGGGTCATCACAACTAGAGTAACATTTATTACCATCTTCCAGCTCATTGTTGACTGTGTCACCATTTCTAACATTCTTGCTTTTAAGGGTGAAGAAATTTTGCATCCTCATGTTGTACCTGAAAGGGCAAAGGAAAGGTCTAAAAAGGTTGGATTTTTTTGCATTTTCTTGGCAAACTTTTAAGCCATCTGAGAACAACCTATTCAGGCAAGCAGTAAATCCTAGTTGCAAATTCTCTGACCACTAACAGGAAGTGAAGAGAAAGGACTCTCCAACTCAATGGCAAGCTGATGGGAAAGCAAGGACTGCACCCATCTCTCCTACATCAAACTGCGAAGAGGCACTAGAGCAGATTTACTGAAGGCAAGATGATGGAACTGTGGATTTTGGAGCCAGGACATTCACTATACAGCAGTTTCTTTCCTCCTGCATCAGCTCACAATTCACCTCACTGTTTCTTTCAGTACTGTGTTCCCTGTGGGAGGCTTTTGGGGCATTTCTGGGACTGCTGACCAAACCCTTCTAAAGACAGCATGTATCTATTTTAGCACTAGGGTGGTATCTAAGAGGGCTGGCAATGAACTCTGCTAAGACTCGATGTAGGAGAAAAGGGAGTTCCAACAGGGTGATTTGTGAGGGGAAGGCACCAAGGGATGTAAGTCTAAGCAACTTGCAATAGAAGGGTGGACTCACAGACACTTGCAGTAACAGTCAGACCTCTGACTCTCCTGTCAGAGGCAGTGACACAGCAGAAGAAGATGTGAGTAAACAATCTGGTATGAGATAGTCTGAAGATAAATACATGCTTAGCACTCTGTCTAATGTTCCTTGACCTTGTTCTCCAGGGAGTACAAAGTATGTGTAAAAGCTGACATGATGTGTTTACAATCCAGGGTACCCTGCAACTTTTCATATGCCTTTGTATAAATGACATTTTTCTCAACTTTTTCTGAAAGCTACTTTACCTCTGTGCACTATGAAAAGGATACATGGAAGTAAGTATTTGTTGCTGATTGATCACAAACCTAGAATTAAAGTGGTTAAGCATAGAACCCAACAGAACTTACACAGAATCATGACTGGCTGTACTGCCCTCAGGCAGGAAGGCCAAGGACAAAACAAGACCGAAAGAATGACGGTCAGTTAGCATCCAAAAGTTACAGTAAGAAGTACTTACTTCATGATAAGTATGTAGAATGAATACATAATGATGAGTACAAGGCTTTCCCACCTCAAAAAGACAGAAAGAAGTGTTAGAAGACCATTCAAACAGCTGTACTCTTTACAACTTTTATGTAGGGGTGTGCCTTAAGCATCTGGTACAAGTCACATTTGCGCACACAGGACTCACATCATTAAGAATAGATGGTGTCTCAGCAGAATGAGAGGGGAAGCAGACTCTCAAGTTTCAATAAACATGCAAATAAAATGCAATGCATGTATTTCAGCAGTGTGCCATGCAGACTGAAACCAGAGCTACTCTCTGAGGATTGCAACACCAAAGCCTTTTGTCATTTCACTGCTGAAGCACAGGCAAGGCACTCTGAGAGCACTGTCAGAAGGTGCCTAGGATCTACTAGGATTTACACTGGAGTGGCCTTTGGAACACCTGGAATCCCCATAAATGTTAACAAAGCAGAAGAGGTTTGGTTTCTCTCTCTGCACACGGGAATCTTCAGGCCTTACACAGAGTCTGTTTCCTGATTCTCACATTTTCTTTTAGTTTTCTGTGACCATCACAAAAACTAAGCCCAAACAAAAAACACATTTCCTATGTGTTCAATCCAGCTCATACTCCCAGTGTGTAGAATGAAAGCAAATTACACTACAGCTGTATTTACTGATGAGCCTCATGGCAAATACAGGACTGCATGGAATTATTTACACAACTTACCATTCTATTTTCTCATCATATATGAACTAGAAGGAAAAAAAGGAAATATAAATTGACCATTTCTCTAATCTATCTCAAAAAACAACCAAATTTCTTCAGCAAGTATCAGCCATATCTAGACAGACCTACTCAAGTTTTGACCCTTTCTAACAAGAACTTCCACTGTGTGGATTGTGCCCCTCACAAAACACAAACCTTGTGAACAAGGCCTGTTTCAAGTACTGTTAAGGGAAATGGTGCAAGCACGTGAGAGACAGATACACACTCATGTACCCACATGCTATGCTGTGCAAATGACAGCAAAGTCACTTATTCGAAAAAAACTTGATTCTTTAGTGCTTCTAACAGCTGGACTAGTTTTAGCAGAACAGGCAGCCACTTCTCCTCTTGGGTCAAGTGGTTACACACATTTTGCTGCACCCTGTGTAACTGCTGTTACTGAATACACAGCTAGTGATCCACTTGTATTACAAGATACAGACTGAGTGGATTCTTCCCAGCCTTGCCACCAGAAACATTTAATGTGTACATTCAGGAGCTACTACACTGCTCTAGATGAACAAAGCGGTATCTGATCTGTGCTCTACATGGAAAAGCTTACCCAAATCTGAAATAAAATTACTGTGTAGAAGCAAGAAACAGCCACCTTTCTCTATTTAAAATAAATGTGTAGCTCAAAATTTTTCACCTCCACAACAAGAAGTCTCTTAAGTCTGAGGAGAGTGCTCTGCATAACAGTATCCCACTGCAGAACTTACAAACCCTAGGTACAAAATGAATGGACACAGATGGACATGGTGGGCACATATTCCATGGGGCTGTATGAAATTTTCATATTTATACAACATTGTGGAGCTCAGCCCTCACTTCCAGATGCCACTAGAACTAGCTAGGAAAACAATCACTTGCCAGCATGTATCAATACACTAATTTTTTGGTCCTCCAAAAATTCAAGCAATGAAACATAGTAAATGGTAAGAGAACTACTTACAATAATAAGTATGATCACAGATATTGTGTAGTATACAGAATCCCGGAACACAGCCCACTGGGTGAGACAAACCACCTGAAAAATACCACACCTTCAGCTAACAAAAATATGGGATTTCAAAAATACACAAAAAGGCCCCTACTTTAAAATAACTTAAAATAAATATTTAATAAAATAAAAATAGGTGTGTGAGCAGAGTAATTATTATTGTAATTAGAAACAATTCTGAAACCAAATGCAGTTTTATGCCACCATGAAGAAGTATCAGTCTCAGACAATGGATCTATAATAAGCATCAGTAATAAAAATCATATAGAAACTTCTATTATTGAAATACATTTCTTACTAACGATACTTGATTTGGTCATAATTTCAATTGTAAAGTACAATTCATTGCACTGCAGCAAATCAATTGTTCCTCATCCCTTTTATTTTGTGGATATATTTGACTTAATACCTAAAAGAATATGATAAACAGTTTAACCATCTATTGAGTAAATGGAGAATCTCATGCTTGTGTCCCAGATTCTTTGACCGTACCAGGAAGGATCAGCAGATGCCACTGATCAGTTGACTGCAAACAGTACTGTATGAAGAGGAACCAGTCTCTTCTGTATGCTACATGTTTAGAGTGCTGACACTACAGGTGAACATTTTGGAAACATTCAGTATTTGTAAAGCATTTATAAAGTCTTCCAATCCTTGAGGTTTTTCACAATGCCATTTTTGTCTGTGATTTTGCCTTTTTTCTTGTTTTTTTAACATATGCTCATTGAAACATCTAAATTGTAAGCAATTGAACTATGTAAAGACAAGTATCTTACTAACCTGTCCTGCAAACAGTCCACAGACACCAACAATGCAGAGAATGTTGAAAACTGCTGAACCAACAATGGTCCCAACTCCTACATCTCCATGAGTGATAAATACACCTGCAGAGGGAGCAAAACATACATAACTACCTCTGCCATTTAATTTCAGGTCACTCAGAACATGTACTACTTGAAAAGTAGAGACTGTTTCAAAGATTAACCAAAACATGTTTCATAATTAAGGGCCCCTCCTCCGTGTGGTAATTTGTGCTTTTAGTCTAACTAGCAGCTCCCCAGCTGTGACTTAAAACCTTTGTACTTTTAAAGATGTACTTTTTGTACTTGTAAAGATGTACTTTTAGTAAATTATTTCTCAGCTAGTTAGTTCAACAGTAAGTTCTCTGGTTCACAGCTTAGTTTTTAGCTGTGCAATAGTCCATTCAGATGAGCATAAAACATCTCCAGTCACACCAGAAGCACAGAATTTAAAGCACAGAAATCCTCCAAGGTGAGCAACCAGATAACTTGATAAAGATACTTGATTGCTAAAGAGAGCCTAAAGGCTTACACTCACTGCTTTTCAAGAAGTTGAATGTGAGGTCATTGTGCATTTCTTTGGACAGTATTTCCCTAAAGTTTGTAAAAATGTTAGTTGGGATAAAGCCTACAAGGGCTTCTCTAAAGATTTATCAAATTTAGGCCATCGAGCTGCTAGAAAGCTACAACTTAGTTGCCATTACTGAAATTTGGCTGGACAAATGCCACAGCTGGAGTGCTGCTGCCAAGGGCTGCTGTAGAGGGCCAGCTGAGGGCAGAGCAGCGGGGTGGCTGCCTCTGAGGAAAGGCTGAGTGAGCTGTGCTTGTTCAGCCTGGAGAGGAGAAGGCTCTGAGAAGATGTTGTTACAGCCTTTCAACACTTAAAGGGATCTTACAGGAAAGAGGAGGACAAACTTTTTAGGGCCCCTAGGACAAGGAGTTATGTTTTTAAACCAAAAGAGAATAGATTCAGACTAGATAAAAGGAATAAATCTTTTAAAATGGGTGGTGAGACGCTGGCACAAAGATGGCCCACCACTGGAAACATTCAGAGTTAGGTTGAATGGAGCTCTTCGCAACCTGATCCAGTTGGAAATGTCGCTGGTCTAGATGAACTAGATGTCCTTTAGAGATCTCTTCCTCTAGGTGGGGTTTCAGGAGAGCAGGGTAGAGGGGCAGAATCACCACCCTCAAGCTGCTGGCCACACTGCTTTTGGTACAGCCCAGGACACAGTCGGTTTTCTGGGCTGCAAGTGCACACTGGCTGCACAGTGACAGATCATGATGAGCTTCTCATCATCCAACACCCCCAAGTCTTTCTCCTCAGGGCTGCTCTTAATCTATTTCCAAATATATCAAATTACTTCTCAAGGGACTTCAATAAATCTCTTCTTTTGCATCCTGTGTTCAGAATCAGACATTCCTCTCTGTGTTTTGAGAGAAGACTCACAGTTTCATGAGATATTTTGAGTAGTTAATTATACCATGAACCACAGACTACCTGACAGCTGCAATTGCTGATTATTAATTGTCAGAAGAACAGGTTCCTGTGCTTGATCTACTGCTTATTCTTTAACAGCAGATCTCAAAAAAGCTTGTGTGTGGGCTCCATACCTATAACAGATGCAAACAGTTCTGGGGTGGAGCTCCCTGCTGCCATGAATGTGGCTCCAGCAACATCTTCACTCAAATGTAGTTTCTAGAAGAAAACAATCGGTAATTTCAGTACTGCTACTGTAATTACATTGTGGAGTTCTACAGTTATATATGTAAATGGAGCTGATTAAAGAAAAGTATCTCTGCAGATTTAAAAGGATTGTAAACATCTCAAATTGTTTTCATTAATTTACTTTTGTAACTCTAAACACAGTCATTAAATTCCCCAACTCTTAAGGCTTCTAAAATTTAAAAATGAAAATGAGTAACAGAAAAATATAACCTTTGTGAATAAATCCTACAAACATCAGGCTTGATTCTGGCTTCACTTTTCAACCATGTTAATCAAAAAGTGAGTCCGCTGACACAGATAGAATTAGTCCACTTAGACACAGGGAGGGTTGTGTATGGTAGAGAGATCTATTTTTATGATGGTGTCTCTTAAGCTCTAATAGGATATAGATAACTTAGAGTTCTCAGACCAGCACGAACACGTGCAGGTCCACAAGTGGGCTCCATCAATTTAGCAGTCTGAAGATCTTTCCCCTGAAATATAAACATGGTTTTATGGAGGCGTTTTTTCCTTTTCGAGAGTCTCTAGGCTCATCTTTAGTACATTATTTTTCTTTCAAGAATAGAAAAGTAAATAGTGACAAAAGGAGAAGTAAAAAAATCCTGTATTTTTCAAGCAGTTTGCCTGACAACATCTTAAGCTGATAACAATGGCATCCTACACATCTTGACAAAACATAAACACTAATATGATCTATTACCATTCATACTGCTCCAGGAGCTCAAACCTAAGTGTGCTATCTGAACTCTTGGTAGCTGTTTAAATGTTCAGAACATAGGATAAGATGTACAGGTTTTATCAAGGATCAATAACCAGTAATTGGTACAACCAACCCATGTAACTTAAATAAATTTCTAAGGTGCATGCTGAATACAGAACATCTGAAAGGGAAAGAAAAGATCCCAACTGAGTATTTGACTACTACTGATCACCCTCCTTATTATTCTATTTGTTCTTCAACTGGTAAGTGTAAGCTTACAGCTCTGAGTAACACCAACGGGTATTTAGTACATTTAGCACCAGGAAAACGGACTTTTAAACTAGCTACAAAAAAAACCCCAGGAGTTTTTCAGAAAATGGTCACTCTTGTCTAAAAGAAAAGGAGATGAGATTTTCATTTTGCCTGTAAAAAGGAGTTAAAATCTACATTTGTATAATGTATTCATTTTGTTTACCAAAATCATATTCAATACAACATTTACATGCCATGTATAAATTCTACTCTGTCACAATCAACTCAATTAGAATCCCAACACATAATTTTGCAAAGTCTTCTCAAAAATTATGTAAAGGCATTATGTTACTTTTTTCTTTTGCATATAAAATATGTATTCTGATTCCATATCCAAGGTACATACTTTTCTCACACATTTTCTCTTTTTCCCACTTTATGCTAGGGCCACATTTACTTCCCTTCTCCTTGCTGACATGGTGGTAGATGTGCAATAAGAATTTTATAGCCACCATATTAATTTCTGTAGCTATGATATCTTTCCACAAGATACACGGAGTACAATAATAAACACAACTCATCCATAACCCATACCTCTCCTACTTACATCCTTCAGGTATTTAAGAGTGGGCTTTACCATATGATCTCATGAAATCTTTGGGCTTTTTTCTGCTTGAGTGTGACCAGAGAAACAAGTGTGCACAGACCACTGGTTCATTTTTTGAGGGAAGGTCAAATCATTTGAAAAGGGTCAAAGCCAAAAAGACAGGAAAGAACTCTGAACAATGATGATACAAAATTTTTGATTCTCTAAATAAATTTCTAAAAGAGTAATAAAGTTTGTTAACATACCTCACAAATTTTCTCTAAGGATGGAACAAAGAAGTCATCACATACTATGGCCAAAGCATAAAACATATAAAGAGCCTGTAAAAAAAATAAATCAGGGAATACTTCAGATTTGTCTGTACATGAAAAGAGGAAAAAAGGCAATTTTTTTACCTTTATTCAAACTAGCAGAAATATGTAGCTTCAATTTTTATTCCATTCCAAATAAAAATCTCCCTGTTGATGAAGTTATGACATAAAACCAGATTTTTGAATGCAAGATCTCATTTAGAACAAGAATGTTTGTCAGACCCTAAAATATGAAAGGTACCATACTTTGACAGGATGCCACAACAGATTTCATATAATGAAAAGTAACAGGTAAAGCTACAAAGTTATGTAGGCACCTTCTATATTTTTAACTAATTATCAGACCAATTAATTAAACAGAAAGTAAAAGTGGACCCTGGCCATGGATCACTGAACCAAAACACTTAGGAATGATCCTGGTTCCCTACATCCATGTGATTCTCCCACTGCCTTAGGCAGCTTTTTGTGCTGTGCCCAGGCAGTGGACTTAATCCTGCTGTTGTCCATCAAACACAACTCCATTATACTTTACTTTCTCTGAGCTGGGAATCAAAAACTGGAGCCTGCAGACCTCAATTGCTTTGTTTTTAATACAATAGGAAATAAAACTCCACACGATATTTTCTTTATTTCTTCAGGGCTGGTTTGTGGTTTTTTTTAATTATAATTGCATCTATTACACAGAGGCACAAAAGAAGAGACTCAGGAAACTTCCACATCATGCTTGATGTCATCAACTAAGGAATCCCAAACTCTGTCTATAAAACATGAAATATACATCATGTGATCCATTCTGCCAGGATTTTATTTCCAAGAGGGTGAATGAATAGGTGCTGCAAATTCAGACTTGCATCATTTTCCTAAATCATGGAGCCATAGAATCACTTAGGTTGGAAAAGACCCTTAAGACCATCAAGTTCAAGTGTTAATCCAACAATACCAAGCCCACAACTATACCATGTCCCCAAGGTGTGACCTTTTAAGAAATTGTACTCATATGGATGCATTAGAAATACTCAAAGTATTAAAAACTTGATATATACAGAACTCTACTTAGTAAGGTCACTATGATGATTAATCTTATTAAAAAATAAAAACTGAGTAAAAGGGGAAAAAAAATTAAACACAGTAGAGAAAAACTTACAGCAATGATATGAAGCAGAATTCCTCCTTGCTGACGTTCTTTATTTGTAAATATATCTTCAGGAAACTCATTAATGGCTGAAAGAAAAACATATATTTTCAAAAAAAATGTACAGCATGTAGAAACGGAAGAATAAAAAATAAGGAAGCATCTGTAGAAACATATGACCAAACATAAGTGCCTCTTCTGATATATTACATTACAGCTTGCCACTTCAGAATTTCTTTAGTGCTCTGTAGTTTTGAGACACTGTATAATCACAGTTGACACTCTTACAGGAACACAGTACAGGATAATTCACAAACTATTGGTCAAGATGCAGCAATCAGCAATGCTTTAATCTATTTTATATGTTTTATAAACATTTTAAGATGCCAACAGAAACCTATATGCATGTAACAGCCAAACAGGTTCCTTGTAGTAATACACTGCTAAATATAATAATATAGGAATATCTAGTATAATAAAATATGAAGTATCATTCCCTTTCCATGAGAGTGGAATACTCTTCTGGAATAATACTGAAAAACCATCAGCTTTAAGAATTTCTTGTCAGTTACATTAGCTGACAAAAGCAAAATTTTTCCAGAGCAGCTATTCCCTACCACATTAAATAATGTATAGTAAAAAATTAGTAAGCACACAAAGCATGTGTTTTTTAATAAATTTTGCCTATTAAAAACTAATATTATCTGAAGTGATTAGTAAATAGAAAAGCATAAAGGAAACTTCTCCTGTCAGAGAAAAGACCCAGATCTACAGCTGCTGGCATCTCACACAATATGGTTGTTCTTACATCACTGGTTACAATGCCATGCCCACATGGATGTATTCAGGACACACATGCTACTTTTCTCATTGCAAGCCCCATTTTTCCCTCTGTCTCCATTCAAGCTGTGGCTGTGAGAATACACATAGGACAGCAAAGAACAGAGCCTTGGCCCGAGTCTCCAGCAATGATAACAGGACCCTGCACACAAGGCAGATCTTTTCACATAACTGGATGCAAAGGGGTGCAGCTCCCATCACAGGTATTTGTGCCAGAAGTGCCAACCCCTTACTGCCACCATATGGCACAAAGAATCTATCCCTGTCTCCTAACCTGGCAAACTCGATGTGTTATCTGGGAAGCTACCTGGTACTCTCATTCAGATGTCTTTATAATATTCCCAGTACAATTATTAAAAATGGTTAAGTTAGTACAAACTGAAGTTTTAAGAAGCATGAATAAAAATCACCATTTTTCTAATCTTTCTAAGGGGATTTTACTTATCTGAAGTTATTACCAAATAGGAAATCAGAAGTCCCGAGGACATCAAAGGTAAGAGCCAGAAAATAAAAACAAGTGTAGGCATGTAGTCACAAAACAAAAGCAAAGCAGCTTCACTACAAACTGTCCTGCTTCACCAACAGTGATAACAGTGTATTCTGGTGATAAAAGCATTAGTAATAAATAACTACTTGTAATAAATACCTGCTTGTCTCACAGAGATAATATTACATGAATTAACACAAAGACAGCTTTTCTCAAAGATAATGCTCCTCTCCACAAAGAACTCATAGGGTGCAGTTTTTCTCACAATGAGACAATTCAAAAATCTTCTTTAAAAGTCAGGGAAATTAAACAAAACTCTAGAGCTTGGTAGGCAAGATTTCTTCCTTAACGAAACGGCCACGTACCAGAGAGTTCCAAGGTACAGTATGGAGTTTTACTCTATAAACATTTGCTGTCTTTACGGCTTTATTATCCAAATAATCATAAGCTTGGTCTAATGATCATCTTAAAATTCTATATACCTTATCTACAAGCTCTATTCTTTATTTACTAGCTGTATCGTGGCTTTATTTTTCTTACCTACTACTGTGATAATCTGGTTACTCAGGAAAAAGCTGTTTGGATTCCCTTGGGTCCTATTTTAGGCCTGGGAATTCAACAACACTTAACTGAAGGGGGCAGTGGCATTCCCTCATCTGTAAAAGCTGACGGAGAGAATACGACATTATCAGAGTTTGGGAGAGCAGTCTGTCCTCGTGGTACAATCTGATGTGTGTGCACAGCAAGGCACTGCTCTGCTTCACTCAGAGATATTTTCTCATGTATGAGAGATGCAGTTATCTGGCTGCCTGAGTGGGAGCTAAATCTCCTTGGTTTCTACCGAGAAGAGACGGAACAGATGGGAGAAGGAGATGAAATGAAGAGCAGTACATCTAATGGGGCTAACCTTTGCCAAAAAAAGGGAGGGGAACATACACCCATCATCTTAAAACCAGATAGAAATACAGAAATATTTATCCTGCTGGTACTGTTGCAAACTCATGGGTCCTGCAGTTCATCTTATCCAGCACAGATCTCAGGAGGAAGGGAGGGCACCAGGAAAGCCAAGTCTATATTGAAATTGCCATCATTCTGTAGCTTGTTCCCTCTCCAATCATAAAATGAGTGGGGAAACAAAAGCATCTTATCCAGTTATGACTTAGAGGGGACACCACCACCTTTTTCTCTGAGTCATGGACATAAAAAAAAATCCTTGATTATGGCATGACAGAAAGGATGATTCACCTTTGATAAAAAGCTCTGGCTGAGCCGTCTGTGGCTAAAGAGCTATACAAGGCGTGCAAAGAGCATGCCTCAGACGAGAATACAAGAGCAGCTGCACAGCATAAGCTGCCTGCATGGCTCTGGAGCTAAGAGCTGGCACGAAGCAGCTGGGGCAACCCCGGCATGCTGGAGACACCTGCCCTGACGTAGGCTGATAGCGGATTAATGCTGGGTACCGTGAGAGCATTGATCCCACATGCCCTACCCATACTCTGATGGGCAGGCTGCCAACGAAGTTAAGTTTCAGAATCCCCTTAGCCTGACAACCATTTCAACAACCACGTGGATCTGTGGTTTTATAACCTGCCTTGACATGTGATTTCTTCACCTTATTAGCAGTTGATTTACTCACAACAAACATGCCAAGTCTTAACACCTGCTAAGCGTTCAAGCCTGCTACAACTAACATTTTTCCTCACGGGGAAAATAGATCTGGAGATTTTTGAAGGCTGTGTGCAATCAGCTCTGCCTGTGCAGGAAGCAGGTTAGGCACATGTTGTACACAAAAGCTCACTGCCCCTTTTAATGCCTACTTCTTGCTCCTCTGTCCCTTCAGGACCTATTACAGCTACAGATTACAATGCCTACCCCTTCACCCTGGCACTCAGGGACTGCTGATCATCAGACTCACCCAGAACAGATGTGTAAGGGGATGAAGGATGGACAGAAGACAGAATTACATACTTCCTCTTTTAGCCCTTCAATAACCATACCCACAAGCCAGCTTGAATATTTAAAGTTTGTGGAATTTGTATAAGCACTGCAAGCAGCTTTAGGCACCTCTGCGTTTAAGTGTATTTCTACTTGTGTACAATTCCCTTCTCACATTCCAGATCCTCATCTTCCCCAGGCTTGATGTTGTGTTCATACACATGTAGTTATGCCTCAGTGACAGTGAACAAACTCATCACTGTGTGCAGAAATGAGCTTCTTTGTACCTGTCAAGCAAATGCATGCATCATTACCTGGTGCCAGCAGCAAAATGTCAACAGTTTGTGTAACAGGAGCTGAACTTCCAGCAGATTTCATGGTACTGCAAATTGTACTAATTTATAGTTCTGTACTGATCTGCTGCAAGATTTGATTGAAAGCCAGAAAACCATCACTCCTTCCAACAACTTCTCCCTGAATGCAAGAGTACTGTATCAGCTGAGTTGCAATGAATAGGATAAGTAAGTCTTCAAACTACTCTTGCTTTTAAAACATTTCTGTCTTTAGCCCATACTGCTCTTCAAAATCAGTGCACTGGGAAGATTTTTACAGGAAGATGGTTAACAACTTTGAAAGCATCCTCCCATATTCTCTGTACCATGAATGTCAAAAGGGTCAGTCCCCTGCCATGTTTCACCTCTTACTTCAGGTGCTGAAGTGGTCCAGTCTCAGAAGGACAGTGGTGACCTCATGCAGGCACTCTCAGGGAATGACATAACACATACAGCTGATCCTCTTGCACAACCTGTGCACTTTAAATATTGTGATGGTAATTGTGTTCTTGAAAAAAGAATAGCTTTTGCTCATAGGAAAGTATTGACTTTAGTTATGTAATGCAGTAGTAATACCAGAAACAAAGTCAAGCCCCAAGATCTTATCGTAACAGTGAAACTAGCTTACTCAAATACAAAATGTCATATGAAAGCCCTCCTTTTTAATACTTCCTAAATTAGATGTAATGAATTTGAATAGTCATTAGAAAAATCATAAATGTGACATAGTATATTAAAGATACTGTTTTTTCACAAGCTAACAGACCCTTAACTCTAAATTGTCAATGAAGAAAAAACAGTACACTCAGCAAGCAAATTTAAACATGAAAGCTGGTAACATATAAATCTTAAAAGGACCAAAGAAGAAATGAAGAACAGTTCTCTGATCATGTTGGATGCCCTCTGTAAAAAGTAGGAATTATCAAGCTCCCATTCCCTACTACTGAAAACTACTGCTTCCAGTTTTCTGTAGCAGGATGACTTGTGGATTTTCCCTCATGCTCAGTTCAACTTCTGCTGGATACTAACCTAGGCAGCAGTCTAACAGTAAATCAGGAATGGGTTATTCAAAGAAATACACATATTTATTTGAAAAATTCTGCAAGGACGCTTCTGTAGGGATAACTCTTTAGTAAACTTGTCTCATGGATTATACTATCTGAGCAACAATAAGGCAACAATAACAATAATCCAAACAGAGAGCACTGAAATTATTTGAAACACCACCCAACTACTTCAAGAGGTATTTGTGCATCCATGTAAAACTGTGTGATGCCAAAGATCAAACTTTCTATTTGCAGACAAAGTACCATCTGGCAGGAGGCACACTAAGCATCTTCCTCCATACCCCTCACCTCATGAACAGTAGAATTATGAGCAAATTTTATCTCTCTGGTATATTAATTCAATTTGCATTGCTCAGCCAAAAGAGGATTCCCAACTGCATTACATGTGCAATGGAAAAGTGGCAGCTTATGAAGCAAATAACAAACTC